TATATATATGAAAATATTTTTTCTACCAAGAAACACTGCAGTTGGGTGTGGTGGGGCACAAAGTGTAATCCCAGCACTTGGGAGGCAGAGGCAGGAGGATTTCAGCGAGTTTAGGATCAGCCTGGACTAAATAGTAAGACCTTGTTTCAAAAAAAAGGTATTGCAAGGACTGGGGATTTAGCTCAGTGGTTCTGCTGCCCGCCCCGCAAGGGCAAGGACCCAAGTTCCATCCCTGGTACCAAAAAAGCTATTGCAAATATCTAAACCTGCACAAACACCCCATTTTGTCATAGATTAGAGAAGTTTACTATGACAAACAAACTTACCTACCTCCTCGTGGAATCTAATTAGGAACAGGGAAGGAGATTGTGTATACCTTGAATTGTTGTCAAATCTGAGACCAAGAAAGCCTGATCCAGAGCCAGGTGTGGTGGCTGATGTATACCTGTAATCCCTGCCCTCAGAAGGCTGAGGCGGGTGAAGGCCAGCCTGGGCTACATAGCGAGACGCTGTCTCAAAACAAATAAATGCTTTTAAGTATTTTTCCTATACTTGAATTATATATATCATTCCTTCCTCTTGGTTTTCTGAAAATTTCCCTATGTAATTTTTACATAAAACTTTTTGTTCATTGAGCAACAATTTTATTACCTATAGTCCATGGCGAATGGTGCTTTAAGAATCTCCCCAATTTCTTTGTTTCCGGAAGTTTCCACTTGGATCACTGTGGTGCGTTGCCCTGGTTTCTGCAGAAGACAAGCTTCAAAGGAAGGACATTTATGACTCACGCCACCAAAGCCATTTACAGATGGCTTCTGTCGGATTACGTCAAAGTCAGGTGAGTCACCTTACTGCTCCTTGGGTTCCGAAGCCAGACTGTTCAGTGCTTCAGAAGCAGGCGCTCCTCAGTCTCAAGGACAGTGGGAATGTAGGCATTCGGCAACAAGCCCCTAAACGTGTGTTGGCACCTTCTGACTTTTTGTCTTTTGTTTTTTTTTCTGGTCCTGGGGATCAAACTCAGGATCTTGCAATTCAAGGCAGGCGCAGCACCACTGAACTAAATCCCCAGCCCTATGTCCTTTTCAATTTTTGGTAAACTTTGTGAACTATCAGTGCGTTAGAAATGCACTGTAAAGCCGGCCTGGCATCCCAGCACTCGGGAGACTGAGGCAGGAGAGTCACCACAAATTCCAGGCCAGCCTGGACTACATAGCCATACCCCGTCTCAGAAAACCAAAGGGCCGGGAATTTAGCTCAGTGGTTCTGTCGCCTGCCTCACAAGTGCAAGGACCCGAGTTTGATCCCTGGTACCAAAAAAGAAAGAAAGAAAAGAGTACTTTATCTTAATTTACTTTAAGTTTTACTTAAAATTGAGAATACTTTGAATTTATTGTCTAGCTTTGTGATTATGCACAACAAACATTTTTATTATAATCACAAATTCTCAACAGCACACTTCATGTACTGTATTTTCCAGAAATACCTTCACGGTTGTGTCACCCACAACTTCTTTGAGCTCAGACTTACTAGGAAACGATACTCTTAACTCTTTCTGTTGGCATCTTACAGCAACATATCAGCAGATGACATGCTCTACACCGAGACAGACCTGGAGGAGAGCATGGACAAAATCGAAACGATCAACTTTCACGAAGTGAAGGAGGTGGCGGGGATCAAGTTCTGGTGTTACCACGCCGGCCACGTGCTGGGAGCCGCCATGTTCATGATCGAGATCGCAGGCGTGAAGGTGCTTCCTGGCCCGGGCCCTGTGTCCTGAGAGAAGTCGGCATAGCTGGGCATGGCAGGCACACCTCATCCCAGCACTAGAGAGGCTGAGGCAGGAGGATCACAAGTTCAAGCAACTTAGTGAGACCCTGTCTTGAAATAAAACAGTTTTTTAAATGGGCTGGAGATGTAGCTCAGTGTGAGGGCCCTGGGTTCAGTCCTAAAACTAAAAACAAACAAAAAACCCTGTGGAAATATGGGTGAGCTAAAAGGTTTTGAGACTGGCACAGGATCCTGCATCTGGCAGAACTTTTAAAAATACTCACTGAATGAAGTCGAAGGTGTGGCCGGCTTTCCCGAGTTCCACAGGTGACTTGGCCACGAAGCCAGAGTTGAGCACCAGTGTCCTCCGTGCCGTGGCCTCTGCTTTCTGTGGCTGCCTGCCTAGTGGCGACTCCACTGTGCTGAATCACAGTGTATCAGCAAATCATTCTTGTTTGATTCAGACCATTGAAAATGAGGAGGGGCCAGGGCTTTAGCTTAGAGGCGCCACGCCTGCCTCGCAAGCGCATGGTCCTGAGTTCAATCTTGGTACCAACAAAAAATTTAGTAGGAAATAGCACATGTGCTGGTCTGATTTCTGTTCAGAATCGGGTGCGAAGCCCATACCCTCTCCTCAGGCAGTGCCCCAGTTCCTCTGGGGAGTCCTTTCCACCCAGCCTGTCCTTCTCACTAATTCGGAGCCCTGCCCAAGTTCCCCAGTGTAGAGTTCGCTTTGAGGGTGCGGCGCACAGGGTGATCCACGGGTGATCCTAACTAGGTCGCACATGTTGCCTTGGACACAGCGTTACCCCTAAATCTCCTCAGGTGTACCCTATCTTTTTAAATTGAATTTTGCTGTCAGAGTTCACAAAATTAACCTGTTCGCTAGCAAAATTACCTTCCCCAAATCCTAAGTGCACTTCTATCTTTTTTAATCTTTTCACAGCTTTTGTACACAGGCGATTTCTCGAGGCAGGAAGACCGACACCTGATGGCAGCCGAAATCCCCAACATCAAGCCGGATATTCTGATCATCGTAAGTGGGAATGTGCTGTGCTGTAGTTACTGTAATGGAAGCAGAATTTTTTCTCATGGAAAAAAATCAGTCTTGCATTCATAGTGTCACTGGATATAAACTGGGTTTTCTTTGCACGAGAGTTTTCGGCTGCTCTTTGCACCGCTCCTCCGCCTCCTGTTCCACGGTGGTGGTACCCTGGGGTCCGAGACATCAGGCTGGCTCTGGCCAGCTGCTTTTAAACTGGGGCGCCTCCTCCCTGTCTCCTGAACATTTTCACTGGTGTGAGTCACCCCATATTTGTCAGAGAGTGTCTTCAAGGCTGTTTTAGAAATACAGTGTCCCCACTGCCTCTGCCCTGGTGCCTGTCTGTGTCCCTTTGCACGTGTGCACTGCCTGTCTCTGCACATTAAGTGTCCCATCTGCACAGTAGGTTGCAAGTCCTTTGGAAACAAGGAAGGGAACCGTGGGGATCCTGAGGCACAGGCTAGAGGCTGCGTGTTGGTGACAGTGCCGCCCAGTGGCCCTACGTGATTGTCAGGTGCACTTGGCTCGGGGCCAAAGAGCTGTGTCTCCCCTTCCTACCTCCTGCAGCCCCAGCCGCCCGTGAGGGCCCAGTGGCTGTCACCATGCACAGTGGGTTCCATGTGACTGCTCGTGGTCCACCCAGCACGGAAGCCGACCTCTAAGGAAAGTCATGTTCACAGCAGCAGGAAATTTAGAGCAGTGCTTCTCAATCTTCAGTGCCTGCATGGACACAGAGCACAGGCTGGCTGGGTCTTCCCAGTCTGCGTGTCTGCTGAGCTCCCTGGGAGCTGGTGCCCCCCGGGGACGCCCTTGAACAGAGGCAGAAGTGGCACAGGCCTGAAAGCCCAGGGTAGCAAGATTATCTTGATGGGAGAAGGTACATTTCTGCATGCGTGGACTGTTCCCTCTTCCATTTTCTAGAACCCTCTCGTTAGATCTGAGCGCGGTGTCTTATTTGTTCTTTTCCAATTGCTCTTGTGACAGAACACGCAGGTAAACAGTGTGCAAAGTGAGGAACTGAGTCTGCCTCGCTGCCTGCCCTTGCTGCTGACTTTTGAATTCTTGAGGCTCATGGTCCCAGTTTGACATGTCTGATCTTTGCTTAGGAATCGACCTACGGGACCCACATCCATGAGAAGCGCGAGGAGCGAGAGGCGAGGTTCTGCAACACTGTTCACGACATCGTCAACAGGGGTGGCAGGGGCCTCATCCCTGTCTTCGCTCTCGGAAGGGCTCAGGAGCTGCTCCTGATTCTGGGTACGTGCCTCCTTTGCCCTGGGGAGACGACCAGACCGCACATCCTTCTCCCCAGGTAACTCGAGGGCCTTGGAGGAGTCATCCCACCGCTCTGGGCTCGGCTCCTTCACTGAGAAGTGGGAGTTGGTCCCAGGAGCCTTGCGTGTCTAGCTCTGAGGAAAGAGCTAGAAGTGACAGCTCCTGAGCACTCCCTCAGGCTGCCATCTGACAGCGACAAGACAAGCAATGTCCCTGTTACACTAGGAGGGAAGCAAATGAGGAAGTGGAAGGCGTGACCCAGGGCAGAGCAAATCTGTGACAGAAACCAGATTTTCTAGAAGCCGTGTTTTCCAAATCTGAATCCAGTCCAGTCTTCTGATCTGGTTTGGTCCTCTTTTCTAACTGCAAGTCCTCTTAGTCCTTAAGAGACTTAAAATGAAGTATCCAGAACCAGCAGAGGAGGTTAGGAAGGTAAACAGTCTCCCCAAGCTGCCCAGGCTGGGCTTGAACTTTCCATCCTCCTGCCTTAGCCTCCCAGAGTGCTGGGATTATAGGTGTGCACCACCACACCCGGCTTCATGCTCCTTAAAATCTACTTGTGTGATACTCTGTCCTGGTGCCTGAATGTTTAAAATTTTAAGGATGAGTGTCTCATTGACTGGCGCCGCTGGCTTCTCCCTCAACCCCTCCAGATGAGTACTGGCAGAACCACCCCGAGCTGCATGACATCCCCATCTACTACGCGTCATCCTTGGCCAAGAAGTGCATGGCAGTGTACCAGACCTACGTCCACGCCATGAACGACAAGATCCGGAAGCAGATCAATATCAACAACCCCTTTGTGTTCAAGCACATCAGTAACCTCAAGGTGAGCGCCTGGGGGCTGGTGGGTGCCATGGGTGTTGGCTCCGCCTTCACCTGCCTGCAGGTGCGTCTCAGCCCAGAGAACCGCTCCAGCTGGCTCTTGCTTTTAGCAGATTCTGTGCTTGCTCCAAGTCTGCACACATGGCCAGGATTTACAGCCACTAAATAACTTGCATTGCTCTTGCCAGAGGGGTGAAAGGAAAATGTCTTGGGTTCCGTGTTAAGTTTCTCCTCTCTCGTGCAGGCTCCATAGGTGAAAGTTTCCATATGTTCACTTTTCAAGAGCATTTAGTACGATCTTTGTCAAATTCATTAAAAATGCATTGATTTGCCCTCATTGATACGATAATTATAATGAAATCATGCGTGTCCAAAATAATGTAAATCGTAAGTGGTCTTCTAGTTGTAAATAGCTTGCTTTGTAAGGCTGATTTTTAAAGGTAATTGCTTAAGAATTAGAGCCAAGTTTCCCACAGAAACAGTGTTAAACTTTTTTTATTTTGGTACCAGGCATCAAACTCAGGACCTCGCACTTGCCTGGCAGGACTTGTGCCGCTGAGCTAAATCCCCCGGTCCTTAAACTTTTGATTAAATTTCCAGGCACGCTGAAAATACTTGAGACGTATGCAAGGCCTTTATGAGCCCTTGGGAACGTTCTTTTGGGGTTCGGTCTCGGATGGATCGAAACCCCTTGACTCTAGGTTTCTGCCTCCCTCCTAGGGTTGGTCCTGGTGGCCCTTTAGCTACATGTACAAAGTGTTTCTGGGGTTTTTTGTGAGATTTTTGGTTTTTTATAGACATGGTCTCTCTCTGTAGTCCACCTTGGCCTTGAACTCACTATGTAGCCCAGGCTGGTCTCAAACTAGCAGCGATCCTCCTGCCTCGGCCTCCCAAGTGCTGGGATGACTGGCATGCGCCACCACGCCGGGCTGCGTGTAGAGAGTTTTGAAGATCACTGTAAGCTCTCTGGTCTTAGTTACTTGGACTTCCTGTCATTCCATCCTGAACCGTCAGGAGCTTGGCCAGTGCACTGCTATGTCTGCTGGTCCCGTGAGGTCACTTGGGCAGCATGGTTAGTCTCTAGCTCACTTCCTGTTACTGTGTCCGAGTGCTTCGTGGGCCTGCTGGCTGCTGTGCCTCACCGTGCCTGTCTCCCGCAGAGCATGGACCACTTCGATGACATCGGCCCCAGTGTCGTCATGGCCTCGCCAGGCATGATGCAGAGTGGCCTCTCCAGGGAGCTCTTCGAGAGCTGGTGCACTGACAAGAGGAACGGCGTCATCATTGCGGGGTACTGTGTGGAAGGGACGCTGGCCAAGGTCAGTCAGGGTCCCCGCGCCGCGTCCCTGTCAGCCGCACAGGCGCCAGGGTCCCCATGTTCTTCTGTTGAAGTGGCTCCTAAATGACCAAGTTCTGACTGTGACGGCCGAGGATGGAAGTGGTCTTAAGGCTGAATTATGCAGTTACTCCACGGAATGATAAAACACCCCAGATATATCAGAGCATTTTATTTTATGTTATGTTATGTTATGTTATGTTATTGACAAGGTCTCTGTATGTAGTTTAGGCTGCCCTTGAACTCACTATGTAGTCCAGGCTGGCTTTGAACTCCTGGCCACCCTCCTGCCTCAGCCTCCTGAGTGCTGGGATCACAGGTGTGTGCCACCACGCCCCGCACATGTTCTTTTAAACAGCTGTAGAATGTGCATCTTCGGTTGGTATAAAATGGCTAATACGAGCTGTTAGGGTGATGTTTAGAGAATACGTGTAAAACCTTAGAGGTAAAGTATAGATGTCCAGGCGTCACATTCTCTTCTTTTCTTACCAGTGACATCTGTTTTATTTATTGCTTATTCATGTATTTATTCACTTCTACTATTGCAGTGCCAGGGGAACCCAGGGCCTTGCATTGCTAGCCAGGCATTCTAGCACTGAGCTACATCCCCAGCCCTGTCTGAGACAGGGTCTCATCAAGTTGCCCAGGGTGGCCTCTAACTTTGCGATCGCCCTGCCTCAGCCTCCCAATTACACTAGCTGAGATTAAAGCAAGCACCACTGTACTTAGCAACATCTGTTGTATGTTGAAAAATACAGTGTGACCGTTTATTTGCTTGTTTTTCATTACTTTACCATACTGCACCATCATTTAGAGTGTGTGTTAGAAAACATTTCCAGAACAGGGGTCCTGACATGTGACGGGAGTTCAGAGCGGGCGCGGGGAGGGCACGTTGCTCTTCCTGCCAGAGTTTGCGTCTTGGCAGCAGCTGCTCTCGCTGACTGATGGTTCAGTGCTCAAGGAAACGGCGTCAGACACTTACTAAGTGAGCAGTTAGACTGGGCAGAGGGTCCTACATTAACGTAAGCATCTATGGCTGTGAGAGAACATGGAAACACCTTTGCTTTTCTAATGGCACAGTTTGTTTTGTCTTCTTGTATTTGTTTCTAACAGCATATCATGTCTGAGCCCGAGGAAATCGCCACCATGTCTGGACAGAAGTTACCACTGAAAATGTCTGTTGACTACATTTCTTTCTCTGCTCACACAGATTACCAGCAAACCAGTGAATTTATCCGCGCTCTGAAACCCCCCCATGTGGTGAGTCTGTGGGATTCAGGAGGAAAGTGAACCCCAAAGCCCGTGTAGCACTTTTTGCAGACAGCTCTGCGCCTGGACTGGTTCCGACCTTCCTGCCCCTCTGAGCTGCCACTGCACACTTCTGTTTCCTCACGGACACAGCTCCTTCCATCCGGGCCAGCCCCGGTGTTAGTGTTCTTTCTGTTCTCTGTCACCTCCTCCGTAACGCAAGGGCTGGGCCCAGGAGGGTGACTGCTGTACAGCTCAGGTCCCCTTCCTGCGGCGCCTGCTGTGGTCAGTGGTTAATAGTACTGCTAACTAGTACAAGGAGAGGAGAGAGTAAGTCGTGTAAAAGCTCAAGAGTTAAACAGATGCAAGTCATGTTACTCTGAGACATGTTCATATTTTTAAGTTTTGTGTAACTGTTAAAAGTCGGGGTTGTATATTTGGGTGGACTTAGGAAGAGGGGTAAGCTGAGAATCGTCCACTGCTGATTGGAAGAACATAGTGGAACTTGTGTCTGTGGAAAGGACAAGAAGTTCTCTTTCTGAATGCACTGAAAAGTTATTTTAAAGGACATGGCCTTTTGTTAGTTTTGTTTGTTTGTTGTTGGTAAAATCTACACAACTTAAAATTCACCCTTCCAGCATTGGTAGATGTCTGTAATTCAGTGGCACTGTCCCCAGGCTTGGCTTTCCAGCCTTTTCCTTCCTCCTGGGAGAAACTAAGCAGGGATTCCATCCCTTCTCCTCAGCCTTGGGTGACCCACTTCCTGTCCCATGCGAGGTTCACACGTCCTTGGGGTCTTTGTAAGGCTCATTGGTGCCACAGCCCGGGCCAGAATGCCAGGATTCCTGCCTCTGTGGCCCAGTAACCTCCACTGCAGGGAGATCGCTGTGTGCCCACTGCTGTCGCCGGCTCTGGGCTTACTTCCCCTTCTAGTTTTATGAGTGCTAACTCACTGTGGCTGTGACTCCCTTTCTTTCTCTTTTATTCAGCACTGGGAATCGAACCCAGATCTTCACACTGACCTACCTCCCTGGTCCATCGTAGTTTTTATTTTGAGACAGTCTCTCACAGTTCCCCAGGCTGAGCTCAAATTATGATCCTCCTGCCTCAGCCTTCTGCCCTACCACACCTGGCACATAAGGCTCTTTTGAAGCCAGTGATAATGAGGCTGTCTATACAGTTTTGACTGGCTGGAGGTCATTAAAAAGTACTAAAGTTTCATAACTGCAAGTATGCTCCCATTTCATGAATTTAACTAGGAGTTCGGTGAAGGACCAGTATTCGTCTGAACGATGTCTCCCTGTGCTCTTCTCCACAGATTTTAGTCCATGGAGAGCAGAATGAGATGGCCAGGCTGAAAGCAGCACTCATTCGAGAGTATGAAGACAATGATGAGGTTCACATAGAGGTGCACAACCCTCGGAATACAGAGGCTGTGACCTTAAACTTCAGGGGAGAAAAACTAGCCAAGGTAAACAATGATGGTTGCTGACCCCAGCCGTGGTGCCTTAGGGAACAAGATTCTTTTTTTTTTTTTTTTGAGACAGGATTTCACTATGTAGCCCAGGCTGGTCTCAAACTTGTAGTGATCTTCCTGCCTCAGCCTCCTGAGTGCTGGGATCACAGGTGTGCACCACCACACCTGACAGGGAAGAATCTTCTTAAGAAAAATAGACCTTCTTTTTCCATTTTTAATCCAGCCTAAATTATAGATGTCTTTGTGTTAACGCAGTTGTAAAACACAATTTTTAATACACTTTTTTTGTGATACTCAGAGCCTTTGCACTGAGCTACATCCCGGCTCCTTTTTGTTTTGTGTTTGTTGACAGTGTCTGGCTTGGTCATCAAGTCGCCCAAACTGAGCTCAGACTTTTTTTAGTCCATGATTCCAGTCCTTGTGTGGGGCTGGCGCATGCACAGACCGCACTGTGGTTTTTTGCCATCCCCCCCCGCCCTTCTTCCCTTCCCTCTGGCCCCTGCCCCTGCTCCTTTGCCAGAGATTTGTCTCCATTTCCTATGATCTGTCTTTTAGAAAATAGACCTTCCTTAATGAAATCCAGACAGAGTCCTTGTTTCTGTCCACTTGGTACTCTCCAGGGACTTTAGCCTGGTGCTGCGTAGGCTTCTTGCGGTTCTCCCACGTCATTTCCTCAGGTGGAAAATCTTCAGCTAGATGAGATCTTTGTGGTTGATTCGGATCAATCGCCTTTAACCCCTCTACCACTTGCTTTTGCTTCCCACGGCTGAGGGTGAACAAAGCCCATCCATTGTTCCCACCTCCGGTGAGGTGCTGTCCCCTGTGTCATTTTCCCTGAGAATCCAGAGCCAGGCCCGGTATCTCCAGGCAGGTGTGCTTTTGGGGGTTAAGGCGTGTATCAAAGGTGGTCTTTCTGAGGATTAGTCACTTGTTGGTAAAATGCGATATTTTTAGAATTTAAAAGTGAAATAGGTAAGAAAAACCTTACCTGGGATTTTAGAGGGATTCCAGACAACACTTCGTTTTTAATCTCTGTTGAGCAAAGTCTTTTTAAGATGTTTCTAAGGCAGATGTGTGTGTGCATGTGCGTGTCCAGGGGATGACCAAACACAGAAAAGTAAGAGCAAGCCTAGGTTGGTTGTTCTCTCCTCGAGCATGGCATCCCCAGCAAAGTCCTTTTCAGCAAGTCACGGGCACCAAGGAGAGGCCCTGGGCAGCCTGGGGACACTGTGCTATCCCCACTCACAGCTCTGAGAGCCAGGGCATCTCAGCCTGGCTGCCTTGCTCCTGTGAGGAACATGAGGGGAGCGTCCTTTGTCTCCTCAAATCCCTTCATTTGTACTCAAGAGATATTCTATTTAAGAGTGGGTTTCAGGGTTGGGGATTTAGCTCAGTGGTTCCACCGCCTGTCCCGAAAGCGCAAGGACCCGAGTTTGATCCCTGGTACCAAAAAAAAAAGTGGGTTTCAGCCAGGTGTGGAGGTGCACACCTGTGATCCCAGGCACCTGCGTGGCTGAGGCAGGAGAATCCCAATTTGGAACCCAGCCTGGGGAGCTTAATGACTTGGCCAGACCCTGTCTCAAAATAAAAAATCAACAGAGCACTTCGGGTATAACTCAGTGCTAAAGCCCTGGGGTCCATCCCCAGCTCTGCAAAAAAGAAGGTAACAGTTTGCATTTTTCATGGTTAAACTCCGTGCTGTTCATAGTTACAGTGTCTAATGGTCATCATTGTGACCGTGTTTGCTTCTCAATAGGTCATGGGCTTTTTAGCAGACAAAAAGCCAGAACAAGGCCAGCGGGTCTCAGGAATTCTTGTTAAGAGAAACTTCAATTATCACATCCTTTCTCCTTGTGACCTGTCCAGTAAGTACATTCTTCACTCCCAAATATGACTTGATTTTCGCGTTGGAAGGAAATCTATGAAAACTCCTCTTCCTCTAGTGGCCAAAATTTGAGTAACACCCACATAATAAAAAAAGGAACGGGTGAAAGTAATCTAACTTGCTCTGTGGAAACAGAAATCTCCCCTGAACTACTGAAACAATAAGAAAAGTGTTTGTGAACTCGGTCTTCCTCTTACTCAGAACAAATGCGCCCTGAGGAGGTGACCTCTCCTGCTGGCCCCTGGCTGGGCGGGTCTCCTCTCCACCTCCTACCACACAGCTGTGTGCTTCGATTTTCTGAAGCGCCTGCCCTTCCCAGTAAGCATTTTGTTCTTCCATGACTGGAGTTGGGTGTTTTTTTTTTTCTTTGTTTGGTTTGTTTTTGGTTTTTGAGACGGTCTCACTGTGTAGTCCAGGCTGCCCTTGAACTTCCAGCGATCCTCCTGCCTCAGCCTCTTGAGTGCTGGGATTGGGGGTTTTGTTTTGTGCTGGGGGTCAAGCCAGGGCCCTGTGCTGCAGAGCACAGGCACCCAGTCCTGCGTGGCTGTCAGCTTCCATCGCTTGCTGGCCTGTCTGTTGTGTGCCATTCCGGAAGAATGATCAAGAATAGGTGGACAAGGGCCTGGGATTTAGCTCAGCGGTTCCACAGCCTGCCTCAAAAGTGCAAGGACCCGAGTTCGATCCCCGGTACCAAAAACAAACAAAACAAAACAAAAAAAGTAATGGCCTATTAATTTCACAAAATATTGGGTTTCATTGCACAGAATACATTTCCGTTGTATCCATCTCCTCTGTTTCCTTTGAAAGGGGAATCTGAATGTAAAGCCTGCTTTTTATGTTGCCTTGGAACCTCTCTGCAGGGAAATAATGCCAACCACATAGCCCAGACAAATTGTCACCTGAGGCTCTTGCAGGGAGAGGTGGAAATTTGCACAAAGCCAGAGAGGACATTTCAGTCTAAACTGCTTTTTCTCAGTTTGTGAACGTTTCCGTGTGAGTCCTGCATCACTCGGCTCTCACCCTCTAGGGCGCACTCTCTACTTGGTGCGGCTAGGCTGTCATGGCATCGGGCTGATAATCGCCTATGCTCTCCGAAGCTCACAGGGGCCTCACATCGCCTGGCCCTGGGCGGGGCAGACAGTGGCGGCAGCGCAGGTCTCAGAGCAGCTCAGCAATAGCACAGTGCACGTTTTGCACGCGAGGCCGGATAGACAGGCACCTGTGGCCACAGTGAAGGCTGCACTGGGGGCCCGGCAGGAGGGAGGCCTGAGAGAGTCTGGGGATGGTATCCCGGATGAGGGATGAGGGCGTTTTCCTGTAATGGGTGGGGTCAGCAGGGAACCATAGGGGTGTCTCGCCAGCTCACAAGAATTCGTTCTCGTTTATTATACTTTTTTTTTTTAACCCTGCTCTGTGTTTGCAAATCACATTTTATGAACCTGGCATGGTTTCTAAAAGTAGCTCTCCTCACTTTCTTGTAGATTACACCGACCTGGCCATGAGCACCGTGAAGCAGACCCAGGCCATCCCCTACACTGGGCCCTTCCACCTGCTGTCTTACCAGCTGCAGAAACTGACAGGTGTGTGTGCTGGAACCCAGTCGCACTTCAGCCTCTGTAGCAGGCCGCCCTGTGTGGAGGAGCAGGTGTCACTCCCCTCAGTGACTGCCTCAATTCTGTTTGCCCTGCACCTGGTCACCTGTAGGAGACAACACAAGTGTTTTAAAGTCCCATCTTACCCCTTCCTGGATAATTCCAGAAACATCACTAGGATTTGTTCCCTGTGTATAAAATCTGTTTTGTTGACTATACATAAATTTTACCTAGTTTTTTTCTTTGCTCAATGAAAATGATTTTCCCGGTTCCATCAGTACCAGTCTGGAGAGCAGGTTTTATTTTATTTATTTTTATTTTTTTAGAGCAGGTTTTATAGGAGCTCATGGCCATTGGGCGAAGGCCACTGAGAGAATAAACCTGTTCCATCTGGGCTGGGCGTGGTCGCGCACACCTGTCATCCCAGCACTTGGGAGGGAGGTTGAGGCAGGAGGATTGCTGTGAGTTCGAGGCCAGCCAGGGTGACAGGGTGAGACCCTGTCTCAAACCAATAAAAACAAACCTATATTGGGCCGGGGATTTAGCTCAGTGGTTTCGCTGCCTGCTGCACAAGCGCAAGGACCTGAGTTCAATCCCTGGTACCAAAAAAAAAAAAAAAAACACCTATATTATTTGGTTTGGCATTTTATTTATGTATTTATTTTCTTTTTTTGGTGCCAGGGATCAAACTGGGGTCCTTGTGCTTGCAAAGCAGGTGGCGGAACCACTGAGCTAAATCCCTGGCCCTGGTTTGGCATTTTGATAAAGATCTTTAGGTATTAACATATTGAGGGCTAATGACAAAGCTCTGTGCTTTCTAATTAAGCAAGAACACTCTGGGGCTAAAATGTGCTTCCATCAATATGCTCTTCATCATCCATAAAGTGCTGCCATGAAAGCCAGGCAAGGAGAATCCCTTTGTTAGCCTCACATTAGAATTACGGATAATAACACAGAAATCTCATCAGATGGGTCTGGGTGACTAATTCAGAGGACAGCAGGGCTGGAAAAAGCTGACCTTGGACAGCAGACTTCCCCTGGGCCACGATTAAATTTAGGCAGAAAGCAGAGGCCACTGGAGCACAGCTGCCTGCTGAGCAGGCTGAGCAGTAGCCGGTGAATCTCGGTGCTGGAGGAAAGCCCTGGATGGCCCTGGGCCCCAGCTAGGTTTCCGCTGATGTCCCAGGTGCGCATGGCATGACTCCATGACACCTGTCCGTGTATTCCAGGGGCCGTAAGCTGTTAGCGTGTACATCCTTAGCTGTCTAAGCAGGCTGTGACTATGTAATGAGTACAAATTCTTCCATTATGGAGTAGCTTTATTCCAGCTCTCTCTGAACAAATGAGTAATCATGCCTCTGAATGACTGTAAGGAAATTATATGCATCTTGTAATTACTTTTTTTTTTTTGGTACTGGTACTGGGGATTGAACTCAGGGCCCTGCGCTTGTGAGGCAGGCGGCAGAACCACTGAGCTAAATCCCCAGCCAAATTACTTTCTTTTTTATTTTGTTCAGGTGACGTAGAAGAATTAGAAATTCAAGAAAAACCTGCTTTGAAAGTATTCAAAAATATTACCATAATACTGGAACCAGGCATGGTAATCCTAGAGGTAAGATAAGACCATTTACCTAAACAAGGAGGAAGAAAGAGTTTCCAAAAAAGTTAGCATGCACGCTGGGCGTGGTGGCGCACTTCTGTAATCCCAGCACTCGGAGGCTGAAGCAGGAGGATTGAGGCCAGCCTGGGCCATATAGGGAGGCCTTGTCTTAATAAAAACAGGAAAAAAAAAGATCTAGTCCCACCAGAGTTCTGTGATTTAAGCTGAAATTAGATTCCGAATGATACCATCTAGTAAAGTGTTAAGAGGAGTAGCTGTGTTTAGGGTGAAGTTACAAGTGATGATGTGTAAGGCGCTCACAGAGGAAGCAGGAGGTTAGCAGGCATTCTTTGAGTTCCTTCCACTGAATCCTAGTAGAGAATGTATTTGTGCTTCTAGAGTTAAAAAATCAAAGATTAGGGCCGGGGATTTAGCTCAGTGGTTCTGCCACCTGCCTTGCAAGTGCAAGGACCCGAGTTCGATCCCCGGTACCCCCCCAAAAAAAAGAAAATCCAAGATTCTCAGCTTTCAGGTGCCCCTGTGCATGTGGCAGTGCTGTGCAAGGAGACAGCTGGGGCACTCATTCCTGAAGCGAGGCCTGGTCTCATCCCGACACAGAGGTGCCGGAGTGTGGGGGCACTGGGCTCCTGGAAGAGTGGCAGGGACCTTGGGCTTCACCTGGGGAGCAGCTGAGCCAGGCACAAGACCCAGACTTCCGTCCCTGTCACCAGAGCAAGTGGGGGATGGATGGACAGTTGGACGGACCATTGGCTGGAGAGAGGATGGGGATGGCTTGCCCTCCTGCCCTGCTGCTGATGGCTCTGGCAGAGTAATAGGGATTTGAGTTTGAATCCAGTGGCGGCAATTCTCTTGTGCAAGCTACTTTGGAGTTAGTTTTCACTTTTATAAAATGAAATAAATAGTGCTGCCCCTAGTCAGGAGAATCAAATGATAACCATTTCAAACATATAAGCATATAAAACCCTTTGGCACAAAGGAAGTGCTTAGTACACCCTACCTGTGTGACTGAAAGGAAGCTAGAGGAGTCCCGGGCTGCTGATCCATCCCAGAGCAGCCACAGTCCGCTTCCCCAGTCCTGGGGGGCTCCCTGTGGCTCCGCCCTGACCGAGCCCCTTTCCGCAGTGGCTGGCGAACCCATCCAACGACATGTACGCGGACACAGTGACCACCGTGATCCTTGAGGTGCAGTCCAACCCGAAAATACGGAAAAGTACGCAGTCCTCTCCCTTCTCCTGGGTCTGTGAACGAAAAAGCAGTGGAGTCCTAAGTGAGAACTTAAAAGCTGATCCTTTTATTTCTGTGCAATCTCTGAAATACATACATAACAGTGTATATTATTAGTACTTCACTACCGCTGGGTCTTCATTCAACTGTCGAAAGCCGGGTCACCATTAACATGAAGATGAAACCCTTCAGGGACAGCCTCTGGGAGGCAGTAGGGCCCGGATGTAGCTTGGTGGTTCCACCTGCAGCACCACACAAAACATAAGCAGAAATGTGGAAATACTGCTGAACTGAGCCAGCGGGCCTGTTAGAAACGTGTTGCCATCTTCGTGCTTTATACAGCCTTCACTAGATAGGCTTCTATCTACTGGAAGATTTTCAACCCAAAGAAAACACTACTGAAAATATTTTGTGGGGTTTTGTTAATAGCTTAAAAATATTTGTGCATAGTTCAGTATAATACATATCTTCCATAGGTGTTTTGTTTTGTTTTGTTGGTTTTTGTGGTACTGGGGATTGAACTCAGGACCTTGGGGTTTCGAGGCAGGCGCAGTGCCACTGAGTGAAATCGCTGGTCCTTTTTTTTGCATTTTTGAGACAGGGTCTCACTGTAGCCCAGGCTGACCTCAAACCCATGGCAATCCTCCTGCCTCAGCCTCCCAAGTGCTAGGATTACAGCTGTGTACCACCACGCCCAGCATAATATGCATTTTTTTTTTTTTTGGACCAGTGATCGAACTTGGGACCTTTCACTTTCCAGGCAGGCAGCGGAACCACTGAGCTAAATCCCCGGCCCCAGTATGCATCTTTTTGGTGGAGTGCAGCCCTTATTGTCACAAATACGGAGGGCTGACTGGAGTTGGATATAAAGTCATTATTTCTTAACTTCCTGTTGCTTCAAGTCTCTTATCTGGAAACAATTTGTGTTCACATCCATGGGTGGCTTTTAGCACTAGTGTCAGTTCCTGTGCCCGCCTCACCAAAGTCACAAAGCTGGGGGGCTGGGGGTTTAGCTCAGTGGTTCTGCTGCCTGCCTCACAAGCCCAAGGTCCGGAATTTGATCCCTGGTACCATAAAAAAAAAAAAAAAAAGACACAAAGCTGGGTGTGGTGGGGCATGCCTGTCATCCAGCACTTGGGAGGCTGAGGCAGGAGGATTGCTGCAAGTTCAAGACCAGCATGGGCTACATAGTGAGTTCAAGGCTAGGGCTACGACCCTGGGCTACATACTGAGACTCTGTCTTAAAAAAAAAGTAAATAAAATAATCTGTCATTTCATGGTTCTTTAATAAGACCGTGGAGTAAGTCCTTCACAGGTAGACTTAGGACTATGTGTTCCATCGCCTTAGATTCTGGTCATCGTGACAGTGGGACCCGAGTGGCGGTGTGGAAGTCATGAGTAGGAACTGGGAAACTAAACTCGGCCCTTCTCCCCAGGTGTGGCTCAGAAGGTTTCGAAGAAGCTGGAGACGCACATGTACAGCAAGCGCCTGGAGACTATGCTTCAGTGAGTGCTGCAGGCGCATTTTTACTTCTTGAGCCAGGGCTTTGCTGAGTCACTAAGCTGCCTGGGCTAGGCTTGAAGTTGGGATCCTCCTGCCTCAGCCTCCCGAGTCCCGGGATGACAGGCGTGTGCCACCGTGCCCCGTGGGTGCCTGGTTTTCCATCAGGAGTTTGCGCAGGTGATGCTGCTCCCTTCCTGCTCAGCACTTGGCTGCCTCTAAGGACAGCGGCCCTTGGTGGCTGGTCAAAGCGTCACAGGGGTCAGCAAGGACAGGGCCAGTGTCTTTGCTGGTCCCACTGCACCTGGAAGAACCCTCTCGCATGTTTGCTTCCGACATGTGAATTCTTCCTGCCGTCAGGAAGTCTGTGCCTTCGAAATACCAGATCTTAGTAGCATCTAAGCACCAGTGCTGAGTCCTTGCTCTTTCCAAGTCCTCTGTGAGCCTGAATCTGGGAAAGTCGCCTCCTTGGGCTGCTTCACAGTGGGGAGCCACAGTGTGTCCTCAGCATGTGGTGCCACGCCCGGGTGGAGTGGGTCTCCCACCTTCCTGTGGATCAGTGGCTGCTGCCCTTCTCAGATTTTGATCTTCAGGCAGGGTCTCACTAAATCGCACCAGTGAGACTCAAATTCAGCCTTCTGAGTGCCTGGGATTACAAACACACCACCACACCAGCACTCTGGGAGGCTGAGGCAGGAGGATGGCAAGTCCCAGCCCAGCCTGGGCAAGTTAATGAGTCGAGACCCTGTGCCACAGGGAGCAGTCTGGATCAGTGGAAGCCGAGGGTGGACAGGGCACAGGTGCTGGATGTGGGGGCTTAGGCCTGTTGTCAGCTTGATTTGTCCCCAGCTCGGACAGCTGGCTAGCCTGTGCACTCCCCTGCAGGGACATATTTGGAGAAGACTGTGTGAGTATGAAAGACAGCTCCGTCCTCAGCGTCACCGTGGATGGGAAAACGGCCAACGTTAGCTTGGAGACCCGGGTATGTGTTGCGCTGCTGCCACCGCACCCAGCACTGCATGCCACAGCTCGGGGTTTTGCCCCCTCGTGGGTGTCGCATACAGAGCCTCCCTGTGCCCTGCACGTCCCCGCCAGCACCCGGCCCCCGGCAGGGACCCCGCTGTGTTTGGCCTCTGCTACAGTGGGGTGCATGGGTTCAAAACCCTGGCTTTAGGTTGGGGTCTGCTAGGGGCTCGGAACCAGGCCTCGAGTCAGGGTTGGAGATGAGCAAGTGTGTCCTCTGCAGAGCCGGAGACGGGTGCTCACTGTGCAGCCCGCCTGGCCTCAAACCCGGGCCATCCCCCCCTGCCTCAGCCTCCTGAGTGTTGGGATGCAGGCGAGCCCCACTACAAAGCGGGGCTTCTTGTGGAGATTTGGATAGTCCTGACCAGTGGACTTCCACTGTAAATGTCTCTTGGGTGTTTTGGGATAGAGTGCTTTGAGAAAGGCCTAGATTGACTTCACCCCAGTCAGAAGGAAGGTGAGCTGGGAACTAGCAGTTGATGGAGGAGAAATGCGGGCAGCCGTACTCCCATGTTCACACCACTGACCCACCAGCTGTGGACCTGAAGTGTGTTCCCAGGTGTGGTGGGGCAGTGGGAGCTCGCAGTACAGTGGACCCGAAAGTTACAGCAGCCTGACCTACAAACAGCCTGGGCTAATTAGTTAGTGAATGGAAGGCTCACCTGCCTCTGCTTAGCTACAGCGTGTGCCCAGGTAAACGTCCAGGCCTCAGCTGTTCTGACTTAGTTACGGCCGGCCCTCAGAACTGATCGAGTTCACAAGTCAAGGGCCCACTGTCCATGGTCCCCTTTCCATGGGGCAGGTGGGTGGGACACATCAAAGGCCTCAGAAAGTGAAGCCTTGCCTGGCGTGGGGAGCCAGTGTATCCTCAGGGTGTGGATATCATGCCTGTCATCCCAGCCCTGTGAGGCTGAGGCAGGAGGATTGCTGTGAGTTCAAGGCCAACCTGGGCTACGTAGCGAGCTCAAGACCAGCCTAAACCACACAGCGAGACCCTGTCTCAAAAAACCAAAGAAACGAAACAGAAAATACCAAAAGGGGGCTTTGAAGTAGACGAAGCTCAGTAGATTTTGTTGGTTGCCTGAGTCCCGGTCCTGACCACCGCTCCGCCCCCGCCCCGCCCCCCAGTACTGAGCGGTAATGGCGCCGCGATGCTGCCTTGCAGAGCGTGGAGTGCGAGGAGGGCAGCGAGGACGACGAGTCGCTGCGGGAGATGGTGGAGCTGGCGGCGCAGCGCCTGTACGACGCGCTGACCCCGTGCGCAGAGGCAGAGCCGAGAGACCTCCCGTGAGCCCTCCGCCGAGCCCAGGCGTCCGGACTCGGGCTTCTTCCAGAGCGCCCCTGGACCTGGCGCTTCCTGGTGCTGCCGCCTGCGAAGCCCTGTACAGCCGGCGCGTGCCGGGTCTGGTAGCCAACCCAGCACTCGGGGAGGCTGAGGCAGGAGGACCGGAAGTTCCAGCCCACCCCTCCCAATTTAGACGCTTTCCAAATAAAAAGTGAAGGGCTGGGGATGTAGCTCAGTTCTGGGTTCAATCCCCAGTACCTAAGAAAAGACTTGCTCTTAACACCTGAGTCAGAATGTGTCTTATTACATACTAGTTCAGGGCCAGGGATTTAGCTCAGTGGTTCCAGCGCCTGCCCTGCAAGTGCAGGGTCCTGAGTTGGATCCCTGGTACCCCAAAAAAGGCAAACATACTAGTTCCTATGCCCATATTCATAATTTTAATGCAGATAATTCAAGGCCTTCGCTTCAGAGCATTCGACACTTCCTGTTTCTTTCCTCCTGAGACTCGATCCCACAGGGGTCATTTAACAAACGCAGAAATCAGGAATTTGGTGAGTGTCCAGCTCTGTGCGTGCAGCTCTGGGAGGTCCTGAGTTCACAACTGTCGAGCAGTCAGGTGACAGCGAGTGTCTGGAGCAGTTAGCAGGTTCGCCTGACTTCCTGAGGGACACGGAGTCCACGCCGAAGGTGACCAGCGTACGTGCCTTGTTCTCAGTGACAAAGTGGTGTGCGCATCTGCTGCTTAAAACAACTATTTTTGTAAAACGGCCTACTTCATGGTTGTCTTTGGCCCATACCCAAGATCTAGGGACAGCTTTCCCAAGGGTCATGTGAGATTATGAGAAACTTGAAAATACTAAGTTACAGCCAAGTGTGGTGATGCACACCTGTGATCCCCTCACCACGGGAGGCTGGCAGGAGAATTCCAAGTTTGAGTCCCACCTGGGTAATTTAGACTCAAAATACAAAAGCAGGGTAGCCTAGTGTGGATGTTCTGAGTTCAATCCTTGGTATTGGGAGGAAAAGCCCGTGAAGTTCCTTGGACACGCACATGCCAGTGCCCCTGAGCCCACCAAGTCTCTGTCCCCCTGGTTTGGTGCCAGCTCCTGGAGCTTGACCGCAGGCTGCAGCTGCCAACTGGAATCACCTCGGTGCTACAGCCCAGCAACACGAGCAGGGGCCGAGTGAGGCTCCTAATGAGCTCTGCCTTGAGAGGCCCCAGGCTTGCGCTGGAGCCCACAGGCCTGGCCCTGCCTCACAGCAGCTGCCTGCCCTGGCCACAGCAGTCCCAGACTCCACCTAGAGCTTGATTGTCCCAGATGTCACTGGCCAGCATGGGTTTTGTTTCAGCGACGATGGAGATCAAAGGTATGAATTTATAACAAGGCGTGGTGGCACGTGCCTGTAATCACAGCACCTGGGAGGGTGAGGCAGGAGGATCGCCCCAAGATAAAGGCTGGCCTGGGCCATACAGTTCAAGGACTGCCTGGATTACATAGCGAGACCTTGTCTCAAAAAGCCAGACTGAAGGAATTTACACCACACACTTCAACCAGAAGTAAGAGGACAGGACTCCGCTTGAGCAGCTGGCAGGCACCGGGGACAGGGTAAGACGAGGACCATGTTTCTGGGGTGCTGTGGTGGGCTCAGTTCTATCAGTCACTGTCTCAGCCCTGGCCTGGTTTTGTAGGTCAGGGGGCACCTCCACGGAGGGTTATGGTGACGAGAGGGGTGACCACCAGAATCGAGGTCCTGAGTGGGGGACTTGGGCCAGAAAGGGGGACACCGGGCAGGTGGCTGGGGCTGCCCGCCCTGCCTGTGGAGAGCTGAGGGTTGGACCAGGGCTGGAGGAAGGGGACACTTTGCCGTGGTCACCTGCGGGCATCTGTCACCCAGGAGGTGAACTTGGTTTCCCTGTGCACCTGCCTGCCTCGCGAAGCAGAAGTCACGCTTTCAATGAGGAACTGGCTAATAAAGACCCAGGAGTTTGTCCCTTGTGCCCAAGGTGCCTTTTGCCTTGGTTCATGTCAGACACCCCTGCCTGGTTCCCAGGTGGCAGGAGTGGGGCCGCCTGCTTCCGTAATGGAAGTCAGTACCGAAGCACGGATTTACAGGAAAAAGCCTTCCCTGGGAAGAAAGCAGGGCCAGGCCTGCCCTTCCCAAGGAAAATACGAAGCTGGAGGACCCTTCCTCGGACTGGCCCACCCCAAGAGTGGAGACCAGTTTGTTGATGTACTGAGGCTTGAACCCAGAGCCTTTGCAGCGAGCTAAGTCCCCAGCCCGTGGTATTTTTTGTTTTAATTTCTTTTTTTTGTTTTTTTTATTTTTTGGTACCAGAGATCAAACTCAGGACCTCGTGTTTGCGAGGCAGACGGCTGCACCACTGAGCTAAATCCCCGACACTGTTTTAATTTCATTTTAAATCAGGATCTCGCTAAGTCACTAAACTGCCCAGGTTGAGCTTAAATTTGTGATCCTCCTGTCTCCGCCTCCCAGGGTGCAGGGATTACAAGTGTGCACTACCATATCTGGCTTCCTATAAGGGCCTCGGTACTTCCGGAAGAGTGCAAGAGGCCGAGCTACACCTAGTAGCCCAGAAAGTTTCCAAGAGGCCACGACTTTTGGAAAGTGGGGGACAGTCACGACGCCTCGTTGACCAGGGCGCCACAGAAGCGGGAAGAGAGCTGCAGGCGTGTCCCACTGCGCAGGCGCCTTTCCACGCCAGGGCCCGCTCTGACCACCGGATATCCGGTCCGAGCGCGGCAGGATGGCGTTGGCTCCTGGCGCGGCCGGCGGGATCCCTTTGTTCTGGCCTCGCGTGTTGCTCTTCGGAGATTCCATCACTCAGGTACCCGGACGCTCGGCCAGCTCGGCCAAGGCCTCCTGGCGCCTCGGCGGCCCTCTGATCCCCCAGCTCCGCGCAGTCCGGCTCCACACTCAAGCCATCCCCCGCGCCGCGCCCCGGGTGCCCGCCCTGGCCTGCGAGCGTCGCCTGCGCTCACGGCGCTGCCGGGAGGGTCTCTCCTGCAGTTGTCTTGCAGCCCGTTGCAGGCAGAGACCGCTTTGAACCAGTAGGGCGATGATAAATGACTGATCTTGAAAATAAAATGCATTCAAGAATAAAGTAGAAGCGGGAGCTGTGGCGCACACCTGCAATCGTAGCACTCTGGAGGCCGAGGCAGGAGGATTGCAAGTTTGAGCCCAGCTTGGGCAATTTAGGGAGACTTTGTCTCAAAATTTAAAGAAGGGCTGGGGATGTAGCTCATTCTGAAGGCCCTGGGTTCAATCTCCAGTTCTGCAAAAAAGAAAAAGATCCTTTCACCAATTTGAGTAGAAAATAATTCTAAAGGAAGATAAATTCCTTTCTTCTAGTTTTCTGTTTCTAACTTTCAGACACAACATTCTAAACCAGATTCTTTTGTATATGCAACATTATTTTAAGCATGAGGAACACTAGGAGCTTTTCAAGTTCCATGTGAAGTGTATCAAGAAATGTCTAAAAAAAAATGTTTACACTGAGTTATGTAATCAATATAGCAGTGGTTTTCCGTATTTCTTTCAGCGGTGGAGGTGTAGCATCGACTTCATTTTTTGTTTTTGAGGCAAAACATTGGTACATTTTAAGTATACACACTGGTAACATTCATCATAGGGAATTTGTCCTGTACGTATCCTGCCTGCAGCTTTTTTTCTGTTCTCCCTTCCACCTCACTCCCCCTCCTTATTCACAAAAGCTTTGTTTCTGTTCTTTCCTTCTGTTCTTTTTTCTCATGCCTTCTTTCCCCCTCCCCCCTTGTTCCCCTTCACATTTGAACATTTTCTTCCCATTTCACAATATCTAGTGTACATTTTGGACCTTATTTCCACTTTCAGTTTCTCACACCGGAGAAACAATGATGTTTTTTGGTTTTTTGTTGTTTTGTTTTGTTTTGTTTTCCCCTGGTACCTGGGATCAAACTCAGGACCTTGCACTTGCAAGGCAGGCAGGGTGCCACTGACCTAAATCCCTGGCCCAACAATGAGGTGTTTTGTTTTGTTTTGTTTGGTAGTAGGGATTGAACTTGGGACCTTGTGCTTCAAAGCAGGCAGCAGAACCACAGAGCTAAATCCCCAGCCCGACAATGAAGTTTTTAACATGTATTTCCAGTGTATTTCACTTAAGAGTATAGTCTCAAGGTCCGTCCATTTAGCTAGTAATGTCCAAGCTCATCCTTTTTTATGGCAGAGTAGCACTCCATTGTAAAAAACCCCACAGCTTCCCCCCCCCCACTTCTGAACCAGGAATCGAACTCAGGACTTTGTGCTTGCCAGGCAGGTGTGGTACCACTGAGCTACAACCCCGGCCCAAACCCACATCTTTATTCATTGATTTGAGTTATTTCCAAGATTTAGCTATTATAAATTGTGCCGCTATAAGCAGGGGTGGAACACAGTTCATTTAAACTCTTGGATGTAGTAGAATTTTTAGTTTTTGTTTTGATTTTTGGTGCTGTGCCCCTACTGGACAAATGCTTTCCCACCAGGCAGTATTCCCAGGCCTTCTTTATTTTGAGACAGAGTCTTGCTAAGTTGCCTGGACTGGTTTGGAATTTGCCATCCTCCTGCCTCCACCTCCTGAGTAGCTGGGCTTACAGATGTGCACCATCATGCTCTGCTGGTTCTCTTGAAGTAGCTTCTCTAGATACCTGGTGAGCCACGTTAGGTCTCTGTAAAGGGCAGGTGCTGGGCTTCAGTCTAGTTGGAGAAGGAAGAGCTTTATTTTCGCCCTCGAAGGTGAAGCTCAGGTCCCCAGGTGACCTCTGCAGGTAGTCCGAGGTCGGGAAGGCAGAGCTGGCCCTGGCGCTTGAGGGGAAGTAACGCTCTCCTTTCTTCAGTTTTCTTTCCAGCAGGGTGGCTGGGGAGCGGCGCTGGCTGACAGACTGGTCAGGTGAGACGTTTTGGGGTGATTCTCCCCTTCGCCCGCCTGGCCTCCCCAGGCGGTGGGTGTTTAGCGCCAGAGAAAGGCTGGGAGTGGCGTTCAGCCAAAGGGCTTTGCGGCCCCCGAGGCAGACACAGCACAGGCGTCCGAGGAGCCTCCTGTCCTGGCCAGAGCGCCTTTTCCCAGTTCTTGCTGTGCTTAGATTTAAATTAGGAGTTCAGGGAAAGAAAACTGTGTATACACTTAAGTTCAGAGTCGGAGAAGTGAATGGGATCCCTTAGGGGTAGAATGGCACGCTCGATCCTTGAGAAACCTGGACCCAGTGTGGTGACAGAGGTGCCCATCGGCTGGTAGCGGCGGCATCGCCTTTCCCGCCGTAGGACCAGGACGAACCTGTCACCACTTCCCAGGTGCCGGGACTGACGCCACAGCCGGAGCCCCTTAGGTGAGCCAAGACGCGGCCAAGGTCTGAGGTCACCAGCTCCTCAGTCCCCTCAGTCCCCTCAGTCCCACACCGACCCTGGTGTGGTGGCCTCACTGTCTTCCTGTGAGTTTGGGAACGCGGAATGAAGTGTGGGATCGCAGCCCAGTGACACCGGAAGTGTCACCTCACATGGTCTTGCTGGGCGTAGTGGTGCATGCCTGTCATCCCTGCTGTTCCACAGAAAGGCCGCGGCTTCTGTGGGGCCAAACCTGTGGCTTCCCTGCTACACAACTGCCCGAGGAAGCAGCTCCAACTTGGATGCATGTGTGGATGCTGGGGACCGAGCACATACTGTACTAAGTTGCATCCCGGCCCTGGCATTCTTGAGACAGGTCTCAAAGTTGTTGTGTAGCCAGGCTGGCCTTGGACTCTGGATCCTCCTGCTTCAGCCTCCCAGAGAGCTGAGATTATAGGAGCATATGGTCCCCCCCCCCCAAACTACTTAAAAAGGAAAGTTCTGGGCATGGTGCTACACGCCTGTCATCCTAGTATGTGGGAGGCTGAAGCAAGAGGGTCCAGAGTTCGAGGCCAGTCTGGGCTACATAGTTCAAGGCTGATCTGGCTCCATCTCAAGAGTCTGTTTCATAAATAAATATCTGATAAGGAATCAGTGTAAACTGAAATACAGCGTATGAATCTCATTAAAGGTCTGTATAGTTCAGGAACTAACTGCGTAGTCCAGGCTGGCCTCGAATTCCAGATGATCCCCGTGCCTCAGCCTCCTGAGTGACATGCGCCACCCTGTCTAGTGAGTCTCAGCTTCTTAGTGATTTTCTAGCTACCGTACTTGCTCAGATCCACGTCCACCCATTGCAGGCTCGGTTGTGAAAGCGCCCCCTCCTCTGGGAAAGTGGCCTGCAGAAGTCGGCAGCACGGAGTACTCCCTCCCTCCCCAAAGGCGGCCACACGGGAAGCGGCTCTGCTCACGGCTCATCTTGTCACAATTTCTCATTTCAGAAAATGCGATGTTCTGAATCGTGGATTTTCCGGTTACAACACCCGCTGGGCCAAAATCATCCTTCCGAGATTGGTGGGGAGCAGGGACAGCCCTGCAGTGGTGACCATTTTCTTTGGCGCCAATGACAGCTCTCTGAGAGGTGAGGGCACGTCGCAGTCCCCAGCTCCAGCTCGAGGTGGCTTCTTGGCAGCCCAAGCCAGGCTGCATCTCTCCCTCAAGCCCTGCTGGGTGCAGGCCTGCATTTGCTTTCTCCTGGGTGTGAGGCAGTTTGTCCCCAGCCCCTCTTGGCACACTGGGTCCCTGGAATCTCGGGTATGGTCAGTGGGTGTGGCAGAGGAGCCGGGGTCTCGGGCCAGTGTGCCAGCGTCAGAGGAGCAGGCCTCGCTCCTTTTTTGTCGATCCTGGGGACAGAAGCCAAGGCCTTAGCATTGAGCTACACCCCAGCCCCTTTTTATTTGGAGACAAGGTCTTGCCAAGTTGTCTAGACTAGGCTCGGACTTCCGATCCTCCTGCCTCGGCTTCCCAGAGTGCTGGCCTCACACCTCTTCAGTCCTCTGAGTGGTGATGGAAATGAGAAAAGTCAGCCTTGGCTTTGGGAAGCCAGGCAGCTTTCAGAACGTTGTGTGCCCCACCAGTGTCCCTGAGTGGCTGGGTCTGCTAGGCCCCGCGGGCACTGAGGGCCGCCTCGGGTGGGCAGGAGATGAAGGGACAGCAGCGGTGGCCGGACAAGGAATCCGCGTACCCAGCACGAAAACAAGTGCAGTGCAGCTGTTGCAGACCAAGGAGTCACTGGGAAAAAATTTACAGTTTGTACCCAAACCTGTGAAAACAAAAAAGCAACTCTGGTGAATTTTTATCCAATATAAGGCAAGGACAAATACTTTCTAAACTTAAAAGCAGTGGAGGAAGTTGCAGAGGAAAAACTGGTTTATGAAATAATTAAAATAGCCTATATTGGGGCTGGTGGTGTAGCTCAGTGGTTAGGTTCAAGCCATAGCACCACAAAGAACAAAATTTAGGTCAAAAAGTTGTAGGGCCGGGGATTTAGCTCAGTGGTGCCACACCTGCCTCACAAGCGAAAGGTCCTGAGTTCCATCCCCAGTACCAGGGGAAAAAAGAACTTGTGAAAAAGCTGGGTGCTGTGGAGCATACCTGTAATCCTAGCACCCAGGAGGCTGAGGCAGATCGCCCCAAGTTCAAGGCCAGCCTGGACTACGTAGAGACCCTGTCTCAAAAATCTAAAGGGAAACAAAATACTTTTAAAAAGGAAAATGACTCATTAAGGAAAATACTTGAAAACTATGGGTAGAAAACGATTATCCACTAGTATAGCAGTCAACATAAAAAAAAACTAACTCCAGTAGAAAAACAAAAGACACAAACTGACTTCACCAAGGGAAGAAATGAACAGCTGATACAATTGAAAATGTGGACAACTTCAGCTGGCCCCGCAAAAGCAAATTAAAACTAGGAATTTTTGATAAGTGGTTCTAAAAAAAAACTAGGAATTTTGATTTTTGAGTGAATCAGGAAAGCAGCCCTAAGCAGTGCCCAGCCAACCAGGTCATGGTGGAAGGAAGGGGCTCTTCCGTCACTGGTGGCAGAACCGGGGTCCCCAGGAAGCCACTCGGCCACTGGACCAGGACATGGTGGGTGGGAAAGCCACGCGGGAGCAGCTCTGCCTGCAGTCAGAGCAGGTGGCTGCTGGGACAGCCGCCGGTGGGGCCGAAGTCCTCCACGTCTTCGTGATGCCGTGGGCAGAGGCAGGACACACGCAAGGCCCACAGGGAGGCCGGCGCAGTGTTGTCCGGAGGTTTGCAGAGAGGCTCAGGACAGAGCCTGACTGCACCTCCCGCCCCCTGGAGGCAGGAAGGGCGGTGGCACCAGGTCTGCAGAGGGTGCCTGCTGCTTGCTCTTCACTGGCTCATTTTCACAGCCACCTCTCGTCAGCCTCAGGTTTTGTTTTTGTTTTACTTTATTTTTTTGAGACAGTGTCTCACTGTACAGATCAGGCTGGTCTTAAACTCTCTGTGAATGTGAAGCCCAGCTCCCCTGGAACTTGCAGCTCTCCTCCTGCCTTGTTTTGTTTTTAAATTTTGAGACAGTCTTGGTAAAATGCCCAGGCTGGGCTCACACTTGCAGTGGTGCCTCACCATGAGACGGGAGCAGACAGGTCAGGGCTTCCTGCAGGGTCACGGCCCAGCTCCTGGGCTCCCTCCAGGTTCGGCCCGGGCCAGTGTCCTGTGGGCCGTGACTGGCAGTTGGGGCCCTGGTGGGGCCGGGGCCTCTGGGTCTGCGGCACTGGGAGCTGTTTTAGTTAGGGGACATGTACTGTGTCTGTCGGTGGCCCACAGCACGTCCCCAGTGATGCCACCGCTGCGTGCGCGTAAGCGTGTGCTCCTGCTTACAGTGCCGCCCGTGACACCCTGTGTCCCCGCAGACGAGAACCCCAGGCAGCACGTCCCCCTGGAGGAGTACACGGCCAACCTGAGCGCCATGGTGCGGTACCTGCACTCCGTGGGCGTCACCGAGAGCCGTGTCGTCCTGGTCACGCCACCCCCACTGTGGGAGGCCGCCTGGGAGGAGGAGTGCGTGGCGCAGGGTGAGACGCGCAGTGGGGCCTGGTGGGGCCTGGGGAGACAGGATGGGAGCTGCTGTGGGCCCTGCTGCTTTGTCTGCGTTCGGCGGAAGTGGAGACACCGCTCCCTTACACCGTACTGAGACAGGATTCCCAGCACTCGGGAGGCTGAGGCCAGTCTCAGAAAACAAGGGGATTTGTTCTGGCTTTGGCCAAGACTGGACCCCTAACCTGGCATCTGCTGACCTGTATAGCTGCCAGGCTCCAAGAGGCCAGCGACACCCCCCGAACTGGGCAGGAGGGGGCACCAGCTGGCCCAGGGAGTCACATGGGGCTGATTTCCACCCTCACCTGCATCTCTGCTGCCCTCGCTGGTCCTGGCATCTGGAGGCATGTGCAGGACAGGGCTCTGGATGAGGGCCACCTTCATGGCCAGCCATGTTTCTCACCCCCGCCACGCAGCTGGGCCACCTCACCCCCACCCGAGGTGTCGCGCTGATGCCACAGCCTGCTCCAGGCTTGGTGGCTGGCTCCTTCCTGTGCGGAAGCACGCTCCGTGCTCCACTCCCAGAGTTGAGTCTGTCGCCCTTGCTTGCAGTTGGGTGGGTGCTGTCGTCCTGTGGAGCCTGAAGTCTCCGTCCCACAGCTGTGAGGCGACAGTTCCCGGGATCCGAGGTCTCCATCCCGCCTGGCTGGCCATGCACCAACACCCCGGGCCGCTTCCCTGCTCCCATGCCCTGCCTGGTCACCGCGGCTGCTCGTTGCTGCCCCTGCCTGCACCTTGGTCCTGTGGCCTCTGCTGACTGCACAGAGCTGTGCCCACCCCTGGCCTGTGACACCCATGGCCAGGGCCCGCAGTCCAGCACTGCCATCTGCTGTTGTGCCTGCAGGTCACAGGCTGAACCGCCGGAACTCAGTGACCGGCGAATACGCCAGGGCGTGTGCACAGGTGGCCCACGACTGCGGGACGGATGTCCTCGACCTGTGGACCCTGATGCAAAAGGACGACCAGGTAGGGGGACTTGCCTGCCCAAGCCGAGCAGCGCAGGGCTCTCCCAGGGACCGGTGTCCCACCGAGAAGGCAGGAAGGGTGGATGGCACAAGTGGGATGGCTTTCCTAGCAGAAGTGGGGAAGATTTAAACGCCACTGGCAAAGCGGCGGGTTCAGGCAGCGTATGGCTCGGCCCCTGCGTGCAGGGCTGCGGCGCTCAGGTCCGGTCCCGTGGGCAGTGACGGCCACATGGGCCTGAGGGCGCCGCCTCAGGGAGAACAGCTGTGCCACAGGTCCCGTCCCATCCAGCCGTGACCTGGTGACACCACAGGCGGCTGGAGGTCAGGGTGGGCAGGCGACGCCTTCCACTCCGGCCACCGTCCTGTGACGGGGGACTCACGCCCCAGCTCATGCTCTTCACCACCACAGCCCGAGCTGCCCGAGCCTCAGCCTGCGGGGCGCTGTCCAGGTCGCTCCGGCCGGGCCTTCCTCGGGGGAGCTGGGCTGAGGCACCCTGCGTGCTGCAGTGCTGCCCGCTGTGTGGCCTTTGGTCTGGTCTGTGGCAGACCTGCCCGGGGGGTGTTGAGACTGTACTAGAGGACGGTCCTGTTGCACTGGACCCCAGAACCTGCAGGCAGCGTCCTAGAAATCTCTGGAGCCTTGGGGCTGGGGAGCTCCCTGTGGCAGGGCCACACGGGGACATTAGCGTTTAGGAAACCATGTGCCAGCGGGGCATGGCAGCACTCGCCTGTGGCCCGGCAATGTGGGAGGCTGAGGCTGGAGGCGCACCGGCCTGGGCAGCTTAGGTGACTTGGCGAGACCGCGTCTCGAAAATGAGAACTGAAACAGGCCCGGGGCTGGCGCTCAGTCTAAAAGCCCTGGGTTCCAACCCATACCCCTGACCGCGCTCCATCCCCACAGGACCTCTCCGCCTACCTATCAGACGGACTCCACCTGTCACCAGAGGGGAACAACTTCGTGTTCTCACACCTCTGGCCCCTGGTGGAGAAGAAGGTGTCTGGCCTGCCTCTGCTGCTCCCGTACTGGAAGGACGTGGCCGAGGCGAACCCTGAGTGCAGCCTGCTGGGGCAGGGTGGCCACTCGTCTGCCACCTGAGCCGCTCAGCGCCAGGCTGAGGGCACAGCCCAGGGAGGCCGACTGCCCCATTGTGCCAAGCCCAGCCAGCGCTCCTGGCCCTGGATCCCAGACACTTCACAGCGCCACCCCTGGTAATAAACGCGCAGGGCCACTCAGGGAAGCCTTGGACTCGGTCCGTTCTGTCATGATATTCAGGTTTATTGATTATACAGGTATCGTCAGTACCATCGCTCCAGAACACCCTGAGCAGACTGTTAATCCTGGAAATGGCACAAAAGGTAAAGAGTTGTTTTTATAAAAAATGTTTTTCTTCCATTCTGCTGACAGTTGTCACACATACACACGCCCCACTCAACTTGTCAGATTCTGAAAGTGTAACTAAAATAGTATCGTGGGCGAATACCACAAGGTACAAGTTCAAGTATTAGTGTAACATCTGCGTAGTACAGGGCCTGGGGAGAAAGGCGCTCACGGCACAGGTTTGGTCAGTCACCCTCTGCGTTCCCAACTCGGCCTGGGAAGCGCCCTGGGGTTCCCAGAGAGCAGCAGCCTCCACAGAGCGCGGGATGCGGCTCATGCCTGCCGCTCTCCCCGAGTGGTGCGGGTCATGGGCTGGCTGCTGCAGTGAGTCTCGCGGGCTGTCCCGGCGAGCTATCCCTGCTCATGCTGTCCACTCCCATGCTGAACAAGTTTAGGAGCCGGGCGGGGGGGGTCTGGGAGGCAGGCGCATCCCAAGGTGGAGCCCAGTCTGGGTGATCTCAAAACTTTAAAAGGGCTGGGGCTAAGTGCAGGGGCCCCACGGTGAGGTCCCGGAGTGGGCAGGCAGCAGTGAGGATACACACAGGAAACCACCAGCGAGCTGTGGTCTGCATGGGGCTGGCCGAGCCTCGTAATCCTGGCTGTAGCTGCGGTCCTCCTACCCAGGCAGGGCTGGCTTCAGTCAGGAAGGGACACAGACAAGTTAGTTCTCAGGTCAGATTTTCCCTGCTCTGAAAAGCTTCAGGGAATACCAGGAAACAAAGGGACAGTGTGGATGGAGATAAGGAATAACCAGGTTTATCTCCTTTCCTGTCCCTGAAGGCAAAAAAAAAAAAAAAAGTTCCAGTTGTCCTCCCAAATGACTGCAGATGCTGACAGTCGGGTCACTACAGTGTAGAAAGCGCCTGGCTCTCCACCCTCAGCGCGGTTATCTGTGGGAAAGGTGACTGTGCTCCAGGCGAGACCCTCCCTGACCGCCCACGTGGCCACAGCCCTCTCCACTGTGGATCAACGAGGGTGAGCACAGGGCCTGCATCCCCGGGCCGCTTCCTCGTCCCCCTGGGCCCTCACACGAGACGCTGAGCTCAGGTCACACGTGCGCACGGCAGCGCCAGGGCCAGCACTAGCACTCCGTCTCCTTGCTGTCCACGCGGCTCTGCCGCTGGAGCCTGAAGGACGCTGCCTTCTCGCTCCGGGTGGCCGGGTGGTCTGTGAGGTCCTCGAAGGACTTGGCAGCCGTGCTACTGGTGGGGAACGGGTCCTTGTCCAGGCCGTCCTCGTCCGCATGCGAGGCCGTCCTCGTCCGTGTGGGAGTCCGCGTGAGAGTCGGCGTGGGGTCCTCCTGGATTGTGTCCATCCTCTGGTGCTCCAGCTTCAGGGCGGCAGACATGGGCAGCATCACGGGGCCTGGGGGCAGTGGCTGCAGGCGGCCTGGGGTCTGGGGGGCGGGGAAAGGCTTGATGATGCGCACAGAGGCCGAGTCCATGCTGCTCAGCATCTCCACGTTCTGCGGTGGCGGGAACGAAAGAAGGGAAGATGGACCTGTGATCCTCACGCTCCACCCTTGCCCGCCACACAGCTCTGAGCTAAGCAAAGTGCTGAGTGCGCCCCATCCAACCCAGGAAGCAGCTCAGGGCCCTGAGAGCTCGAACTCAGCAACTCCATGCAGAATCAGTCACCCCCGAGGGATGGGGCCAGCACAGGAGCCCGCAGCCCAGCGTGCCCCGCCGACCAGACCTCTGCTGCATGGCACTGAGGCCGGGGCTCAGGCCTCGGCTGACAGGGACTCGGTGCACCTGAAACAGCTTTACAGGGTGTACTCACGCTGGGGTGGAACAGGGACAGAGACTCATACTGCTTATCCAGCTTCTTATCCTGCAGGGAAGGAACAGTGGGAGTCAGCTCATGCCCACAGATGCCTCAGCAGTGGCTGCTCTTTGAAAGCCGAGTACAAACTCAGCCTGACGGGAGAAGGAAGTAGGTGCCTGGGCTGGTGTGCGGCTTGGGGAAGAGACTGGGTGTGACCTTCAGCTCCAAAGAGAAAAAACTGGAGATAGCAGGGTGGGTGGCTAGAGGTGAACAAAGCCCCAGGCTGAGTTACTGCATTCAGTCTGGCAGAGGCAGCGGGGGTGGTTTTCTTTAAAGGACATCGAGGACCAGAGGATACTGAGGGCCTCCATGTGTGGGCAACGTGAAGGCCGGCACCCCAAGATGCTGCACGGCAGGGTAGGGGCTGCGTGTGTCCTCACCCCTGGCCTCCAAATGCCCCCAAACTCCCACACTGCTCAGCTGTTGCACAGAGCCCGAGCTGCTGGAGGAATGGCCTCAATTCCTGCACATTTCCGCCTGTAGCAGAGCCCATCTGGTGGCCGAGGGCAAGGGAGAAACAAGAACACAGGGGCTTCCTTCCAGCCTGGCTGCCACTGCCCTCCAGGTGTGCTGCGAACACATGTAGGGTCCCTTAACACTTCAGCCTGTCCCTGCATGACCTCTGTGCTCAGCCGAAGCCACCTCCTGCACCCCGAGGAGGGGCTGGGGGGTGAGAGGCTCGGGGCCGCAGGAGTGCCCGGGAAGAGCTTTAGACAGTGATGCTGGAAACCTAGCGTGGTCTCCTCCCTAGAGCACAGACCCCCATTCCCACAGATGCAAGGTGATCCCCACAGACGGGGACTTGATGTATGTGCTGTAGGGTTTGTAAGGAAACTTGGGGGGCCTCAAATTCACAAAACACCTGGAGTGCGTTAGACAAATCCCAGTTCAACTTACAGCTGCTAACTCGCCTGGATAGAACAAGAAGGGTCAGAATGCCCTGCACAGTAAAGCTGAGATGGGGGGGGGGGGGCAGTGTCAGAAGTAAGTCGCTCAGACCCAGTGAAATGGTCTCCTGCACGTGCAAGCACGAACGTCCTCATTTATTAGAGTAAAAGACCATCAGCTCAGCTGCCAAGGCTTACACCAAACGATGTCACTGGAAACAGGACGAGCTTTACCTTTTCTGAAGATTACACAGTTGGGGTTGCTTGCAGTTGTAATCAAAGGTCTGAATGCTCAAAACGGGACTTACCACACAATGGACAAGAATGCTGAAGGGAATCCAGAACAGCAAGGAGAAAACCAGGACGGACCCCACGATGTTGTCTGCTAAAAATTTCCCTGTGGACAATGCCAAACAGTAAGTGTCCCTACCAAGTGCCTGACAAAGGTACAGCAAAGTGCTCCTGGAAGCTTCCAGCTGGATGTGCTGCGTGGTAGGGAGGATGCACCGGCCTCCTCCTCAGCCCGCCCATCTCCCCATACCCTCACCTTCAGAGAAGCAGCCAAGCCCACTCCCAGGGACTGGCCACACCCAAGAAAGCCACTACCAGTAGCAGGTACGCAAGAAAGCAGTGGCTCTGTTACCTAGATAGCAGCACTTTTTGTGACTAAGCTCTATAGATGACAGGCTCTTGGATATACTGTCTCTTGGTTCTGCAAAATCTTCGGCTCACCATCAAACAACTTCTTCAAACAAGATTCAGATGCCTGATTCTAGATTCACGAGCATATAGAATCTACATGCCCACTATATCCCTCAGACCTAAACAGCCTGGGCACTGTCTGCTATGGGACAGGCGCACTGACCTGACCGCACTTTGTGTCAGGCTCGAGTCCCAGGGACCGTGGGGGGAGTCACCTACCAAATGTGTTGATGCTCAGCTGGTCAATGAAGTCCCAGAACCGCTCGATCATGTCCTGTACTCGTTTCTCACATTTGCCCTTGAAGAGAATGCAAGAAAATGCATTTAGAAACAGTGCCACTGTAAAAATGATGGGCAGGGCAAGTGTCACTGAAACTCAGGTGGCCCGTCTTGTACAGGTGGCAGTGATCTGTGTAGAAGGCCCAGGAAGCTGATGTCCTGGCCCGGACACTCCTGGTTAGCCATCCATGAATGGACTTCCATCAGGGGGACAGCCTCGAGGTTCCTTGGCTCGTCACCTACCCTGGGAGGACAGGGAAGGCAGGGCCTGGTGCCCTGAGGGGCCTAAGCCTCGCTCATGCCGTAAGTGGAGCCAAGGGCGGGACGTAGGCCATCTGTCCTAGTCAGCACCTGCTCCCGAGCCACAACCAGAACAACTCTGAGACAATCAGGACCCACTGCTGGGGCGCGGCCACCAGGTCTGCCCAATCCCTGACCTCCAGTGACCTGAGATCCCTGGCCACCTGCACCATCGGCCTATTACGGAAGCCACCACCCCTGCAGCGGTACTCACGTTCATGTCGCAGAAGCCTACTGTACACGGCTTCCCTTTCCTCAAAAATAAGTTCTTCTGCTCAGCGTCAACGTAAGGCACACACCGGCCAGACGGGTCCCGGCAGCACACCTTGCAGGAGTTGTCGGTTTCTGAAAGGGACGGCACAGACCGACGCTGGAGTCCTGCCGGCTGCCGCCCCTCCACTCCCTGACCACACTGAGCTTTCAGCTTCTGTTCCCTTCACACTGCCTCAGCTGTGGGAGGCCCTGGGCTCGGTCTCCAGTGTGTGCATGTGTGTGGCAGACACCACACCCATATGGCCATGTTTTCCCCAAGGGGCAGCTGGAGCTTGCAGTCCTTGGCCCTCGCAGTCCCAGAGGCCACTAGGTTAAAACGGCTTCACTCAGAAAGTCTGTCTCGCCCTCCGCTCAGACCCCAGGGCACTCCTTTCCCACGAGCCTTCACCCTGCACCCCCCGTGTGGCTGCACCCTCCCCAGACCAGCCAGGATGGCACCAGGGGCTGGCACAAAGGCCAGAGACCACAGCAGTAGTGCAACATAGGCCCATGTCAATCCCAACAGAGAAAGCAGCGGCAGATCCTCTCCGGGCTTCACTCCTCAGGGCACCGGGAGCCTGTCCCACACTCAGCCGTCACTCACAGTGTGCCAGCAGTGCTCTCCTCTGAGCTGCCCTCCTACACTGTCACTCCCTCCACCAAAAGTCCGCTGCCCGGAGTCCCCTCTGTCCCCAGGCCCCTCAGAGCCCACAGGAACCGGAGGAAAGGTGGGAGGGCTCAGCCCTGCTGTTCGCCCGTGCCTCGTGTCTCCTAGCTCCTCTCCTGCTGCTGTTGCCGCTGCTGGGCACGTGTGGCCCTGCCCTCCTGCCCGCAGGCACTGACCAGGTGCGCGGCCCTCTCTGGAGCTCACCATTGCAGGCGCAGGACTCCAGCTGCTGCTCGCGCTCGCAGAAGGGGATGCACTTCCCGTCCTTGCACTTGCCCAGATCCAGGCAGACCGTGTCATCCTCCGCGTTCCCAGGTGGGGGGCACTCGCTGCTGTTCCCTGCAGGCAGAGACTGTCAGCGACCATCCAGGGTGCCTGGCTCCAGTGCTGCCCGCCTGCCTACCCGCACTGCCCCTCTAGGAGATGCACGCTCCCAGCACTGTGAGGGGAAGCAGGGCTCTCACGCGAGAGGAGCAGAGCAGAGCGTAACCTTGTTTTTCACGCATTCGCAACTTAGCCCAGTCGAGCAGCAGGAGCCCGTACCTGTGCAATAGGACACGCCCTTGCAGGTAGCATTGATGGCCTCCTGGCACCGCTTCTGGGCCGTCTCGAACTGGCAGTTCTTACAGCACGGACTGTTCCTGTCACTGTGGAGAAGCAGGCAGGGCCGATTCACCTTAAATGACAGCCTTGAGCCACACATTACCAGCACTTTAGAGACCTGGCACCCAAAGGAAGACTCTGCTGGGTCGCCACTGCCCCAGAGCTGGACACCACAGCTCCATCCATCTCTTCCTAACAGGAGGAGGTGAGACACTCAGGCCACACTAGACACAGTGGTCATCTTCACAGCATCCTTGGTTTGCATTATTTAAAAAGGGGAAAAACAGCCAGGTGTGGTGGCACACACCTGTAATTCCAGCACTCAGGAGGCTGAGGCAGGAGGATCAATGAGTTCCCGCCAGCCTGGATTACACAGCAAGACCCTGTCTCAGTGAATGAATGAATGAATGAATGAATGAAAATGGATTCACCTCAAAACCATTAAATGAGACACACAAGTTTAAATATCACATTGTTTCTTGTGTGACGTAAACAAGGAGCAAAATGGAAGACAGACACTGGAAAGAAGGAAGGACATGTTAAATGAGAAGGGGAACAGAAAAGGGATTTAACAAACAATGGAAGGAAAAAAATGGAAACAAAGGTGAAGTGTTGAGGAGAGTCGAAGGGGAAAAACAATACATTACATACAGGTGCAAATTCCCTATGACAAAGGTGAGTGCTATTTGTCCTCCGATTCTGGGAGAGATAGCTGCAGTCGTGTCTATTGCCTGATGCAGTTTGCAAACCAGTGTTTGTGAACCAAGGCACCACTGTACGGCAAAGAAGTACTAATAAAAAAGTTTTTTAAAGAAACCCAAAAAACAAAAGGGAGGAAACAGTCAGGGGGGCTCACCAGGCAGGCAGCAGCTGAGGGACAGGGTGTCCAGTGCTGCTCTACACCGCCCAGCTCCGAGGTCTCCACTACCACTCTCAACTAAAGCCCCTCCCGAGCGCGCAGTGTGTGGGGATGCGGAAGCGCAGGTGCCTTCCGGTTTGTGAGTCCTTAGTGTACGTCACTGGACGCCATTCTACACACAGTTCTAAGGGCAGCCTTTTAAAGTCTCCTTTCTCGTCTGTTTCCTTTAAGAAGGATTCTTTGAACTGTGAGGACGCTGTGTCAGGTAAGGCACGAGGTCAGGTCAGGGTGGGTTCTAGGGTGGTCCTGGGGACTGAACCCAAGGCTGGGCATATGCTAAGCAAGCACACTGCCAAGATATCCACCACTGGGCTCCACCCCAGGCCCAGAGGGTTGTTTTTATATAATGCAAACTGCTTTGCAGACAGCACTGCTCACAGCACACAGGCATGTATGCACACATACACGCGCATGCGCACACGCACACACACGTGTTCTGCTGTCAGACACCTGTGATGCCAGCCCCACCCACTCAGGCTATGCTCACCTGCACTGCACACCCGGCTTCAGCGTGCAGTCACTGTTGCAGCAGGTGTCGTTGTTGAGGTACATGATCCCAGGGTCACACTCTTCCCCCTCATCCACCCTGGAGTTGCCGCACACCTTGTTGCTGCGCTCCTGGAAGCACTCCTGGGCCTTGCTCTCAATGGTCTTATAGATGGACTGCTTACTGCAGTTGGAAAACATCTTGAGAGAAAAAAGGCCACACGGGCTCAGAAGAACGGAATAAAGATTCACTCCCATGTATTTGTTTGGGGGGGGGGGAGGTACCAGGGATCAAACTCGGGACCTTGCGCTTGTGAGCCAGGCGCCGGAACCACTGAGCTAAATCTCTGGCCCACTCCCATGTATTTCTGTGCCTCTAAGGTCCAGTATTGGAGCCACCTAGAGCTGTGTGAGGGCAGCCAAAACACTGACACAGGCCACTGATACAGAATCGAGTGCCTCTCTCTGGGACACCATGCAGCAGCTGTGAGCTGGGCTAAGGACCTCCAATTCTTCACACAAAGCCTAGTGATGGCAGTACTGGGACCACACCTCCCCCTTCCATCCCGCACAGGCAGTCTGGCAGGACAGAAGTCTGGCCCAGGCTGCTGCCTGCCCCTATGGGACAATCCAGGAATGCAAGTGGGCGCTTCCAGTTTCCCCAACATGTGGGGCCTGGGGCCCAAACCCCTACATCCAGCTTTATTTATTTATTTATTATTATTATTTTTTTTTACATCCAGCTTTATTTTGAGACAGGCTCTGTCGGAGCTGCCAAGTCACACAGGCTGGGCTCAAACTTGTGATCCTCATGTCTTAGCCTCCCAGAGTGCTGGGATTATGGGCCAGCACACCAAGCCCTGCTCGCTGGCTCACAGATGACCCACTTTAAAGGTCAAGTGTCAGCTCAGTGAGAGGCACAATGTTACTGCCACCTAAACTCCAAACTACTACCTAAACATTCTCACAGGTCTACAGTAACCCAAGTCCCCTGAGTTTGCGACGGTGACCTGGGACCCCAGATTCCCGATGCAGCGGTCAGAGCCACCTTTCAGCTTTCTCCGCAGCTCTCAACTGCGTCCCTCTTTCCGATGCCTCAACTGTCAGGAAAGGGGGAAGCAACTGGGGGTAACAGAGCGGTCACATCTTGGGGCAGGATCTCTGCAGCTCTGCAGGAGCTCAGAGTCCCTCAGGCCAGGGGACAGTGCTGTGGCACCGAGAGCCAAGGGCAGGGCCTTGCAGGCACCCAGGGAGCCCTTTCATAAAGGCCCTCATGCTACACACAATGCTCACTAGCCTCGGCCTGAAGATCTTCCGGTCTGCTTTCCAGTAGACATTTAAGGGAGCTGCCTTCCGCAGTCTGGCCCTCACGGAGGGGAACTCTGGTGGCGTCTACTCATCGCCTCTGCAGCTCCAGCGGTTCCCTTCCGAGTGAGTGCCATTCAGTCGGCAGACAGGCGCTCTTCCTCACACAGTCCCTGAAGACCCCTTCTGCTTGCATCCTTCCCACACAACTTCCTGTTCCTTCAGCAACCTGCCTAAGAGGTGACAAACCCTTAGCACCCTGTTCCTTTCATTACTGTTACCTGTTCATCCCCCACCCCCGCTGGCTGCTCTCTTCACTGGTCCACCTGGTAGAAAACTGTCCTTTGCTGCCAATAAATAGCCCAGCATCTCCACAAAACACAGCTCTGCCCCAGTCTACTGATCAGCAAGACCCTAGGGGCCTTTGGAGCCCACAGGGGACTTCCGCTAGGAAGAACTTGCAGATGGAAGGGGCAGGGAAGCACAGCACCCCCAGTCTGCACAATGAAAGGACTGCCCCCCATTCTGACCCTGTCCTCATAATTGAGAAGCAGGGGACCTGTCAGCACAGGCCATGTCCAACGCAGCAGCCACCAGCCACACGCCGCTGTCAGTTTGCTCCTAGTCACGCATGTATGCTACGGTATTAGAGAGATCCCCGCGCACAGGAGGTGGCAGAATGGCACGTGCCCATGTGCCCTTGCCAACTTTCTCCAGGACCAGCTATGGCTGCATGGGCTCCACATCCTCACCACTGTCCGCTTTTCCACTCATTTCTGGATGTTCACTCCCTCCTCCCAAGCTGCACAGGGCCCATCCTGCGTATCGAGGAGCTCACCCATTTCAGAGCCACACATCAGTGATTACCAGTAACTTCAGCAGCAGAGAGCACCACAGATGGGCTCTAGCACATCCCCATCCTCCCAGGAAGGTCCTTTTACAGTGAACACCTATCTCCCCCTCGAACACAGGGATACCACTGTTACATTTAAATAAAACAATTTACACTTCAGACCCTGTCTCTGGCCAGCATTTAAATTGCACATGGCCAGACAGCTGGAGGCCACTAACCGGAGCAGAGCGGCCCCCAAATCCTCCCCTGCAGCAGTCAGTCACACAGCACACATGTGGCACAGATCAGACAGCAAGAGGCAGTCTCCTGCCAGAGAATGGCAGGAAACACGGCTGGACAATGTGGAAGCGAAGGACAAAGGGGCAGGAAACGGCTCCTACCCCCGAGGTCTCAAGCAGAGGAAAAATGAAATGTGCCATGCACTGCAAGAGAGCAAGAGTTGTTACACGGCAGCCGAACAAAACGAGGTGCATCACTCAAAGATGACAGGGGCAGTGAGCAGGAAGTGGGGAAGGGCAAGGAGCCCCAGTGACCTGTCTGCACTCCCCTTCACAACTCCCCTCGGCTGCACCCAACTGATCAGGATTTGTCAACACTGGAGTTAGTGCAGAATCTCAGCATTAACAGTCAGAAAGCTGCTCTTCTCTGTGGGTTCTGCACCCATGAATTCAAATGATCAGGGACTGCAAATGTTGGGGAAAGCACACGTGTGCTGAGCACGGCAGGGAACAAGCACTCCACAGCACCTGCACCGTGATGAGGTGCGGGTTGTCTGGACGTGATCTAAAGCGTGCAGGTCGGCAGCACGGGCTCCATGCAGACACGGCACCGCCTCACACCCAGAATCTGGAGACTCTGGCACAGATGCAGGGGCACTGCTGTGTGCGCCCCGGGAACAGCTCTACCATGCTACGGGGCCCAGGGAACAGTGCTGGGAGCAAGGCCGATGACAGGGCCTTTCCCACCCCAGGCTTTGGATCTGGCAAACTCTGTATGCTTCATTCCAGAAGCTGACAAGAAATGTGCTATTTATGAAGTGCCACACAGTTAACACTAGTAGCAAATTACAAATGAAACAATGGGTTATTTTTAACAGACCCTGAGCCCACCAAAGCCCAAAAACTGGAATTCCAACAAGTCATTACTATCAGTAATTTTTTTTTTTTGGTACCGGGGATCAAACTTGGGACCTTGCACTTGCAAGGCAGGTGGTGGCACCACTGAGCTAAATTTTACCCTGGCCCCATCAGTAATTTTTTGAGATTAACCAAATTTAGTGAGATTAACCTTCAAGACCAGTCCAAATGAGCCATGCATGGTGGTGCACACCTGTCACCTCAGCACTCAGGAGGCTGAGGCAGGAGGGACTGTCACACATCTAAGGCCAGACTGGACTACAGTTTTGGACCCTGTCTCAAAACTGAAAAACCTGGGCCAGGGATTCAGCTCAGTGGTTTCGCCACCTGCTGCGCAAGTGTAAGGACCCGAGTTCGATCCCTGGTACCAAAAAAAAACAAAAAAACCCTGACAAACCTGAGTTCTGAATGGTGGCTCTAGCCAGGTCTGGGCAGCCACCCTACACTGTAAAACAAGGTCACGCTACTTTATTGGTGCAGTTCAGCCCTGGAAACACAGGAAAGGAATACGTCTCACATTCTGCTCTGGCAACGCCACCAGCTCCTCCTCTCCTGCCCACACACTCAGCTCCGAGCACGCACCTTGTTATTCTCGTGATCGCCGCTCACGGCAATGGGGTACATCACATACTTCCCACCCTGGTCTTCGTTGGGCGCGCATTCAGGTAGGGCGTCCGGATCGTGTTCTGCTCCGAAGTTGTGCCCCAGTTCGTGAGTGGTGACCAGGTCCGCTTCCTTGGGGTTCATGCAGACAGAACATTTAACCATCAGTGACTGTGGCCAGCTGGGCCTCAAGCCAGACGTCAAGAGTTACAACTGGATCCTGACTTCAACAGCCAATGACAAATCACACACGTGTAGAGTTCTGTGTAATGCACTCTTAAGTGACTACACCGATTAATTTAAATCGATTTAAGAAAATACAGCTTACAAGATGCATTAAAAACACTCAGCAAACCACCACACTTGGCTGTTTTGAGCACATGCGGTGTGGTGCTAACACACCCAATTCCCAGTTACCAGGCCCCACTGCCTCCATCTGGGTCACACTTCTGTCAAAGCTAAAAGCCTCTCGGCAAAAGGAAAAATCTCAAAGGGTGAAGAAAACCTGAGGTTCAAAAGCAATGTTCTACCATCTCAGTGACGCGTCGGTGTCCCACGAGTAACAATGCTAAGCACCGAGAGTTTAGTTGGGGAATCCAGCGGTGAGCGGTATTTTTATCCGGTCACCAGAAGATTTCTATCTGAATATAACACAATAATGAATTTAGCCAGAAAAGCTTAATTTTTTCAGTATTTATCTGAATAAAACAAGACACTTAAAGGAATCCTAATTCTGTAAGACATGAAAAATCAATAATTTGCAGGCCATTTTTTCTACACAAGGAGATTCCCAATTCTTGGGATTATTAGCTTCTCAAAGGCAAGGTCCTGAAGCTTTTCCACATTTATATTAAAAATGGCAGTGGAGGAAATTTGGAATTTTTAGCAAAAACATTCAAATCCTAATGGTGTAATATGGAGAAGTAATTTCTAACTGTACACTGGGAAAAAATTCAAGAACAGACTGTAACAGTCTGGCACTGTAAAAATAACGCAAAAATTTCAAAGCAAATTTATTTTTAACTGTTTTATGAGAGAATATTCTGGAAGACCAAGGAAAACACATCACGAATGGAACCATTAAGAGGCTGTCACAACGAAAAAGTAAACGGGCACCAGAGGAGATTCTGCATCACTTCCAGAGATGGATTAGCGGCCTTTTCTTCTCATCCGACTTTATGCAGCTTGAGTCACCTGAAGTCCACAGCTATACCAGAGGTCACTCTGCGTATGTCTGACAAATGCATAACACCTCGTTTGGGGACGGGATTTTGCTATGTTGCCCAGGCTGGCCTCTACCTCCTGGCCTCAAGTAATCCTCCTGCCTCAGCTTCCCAAGCAACTGCAACTACAGTGTCTACCACTGTGCCCAGCTTGCATAAGGCCCCATGTGTGTGATGGCAGAGCCTGCCAATCCCCACCCGGGACTGTTAATCCAGACAGCGTCCTTTCAAGGCCACCCCGGAGATCATACCTGTGCGGCCAGCCACACCTGCAACAGGCATCCCCTGGCCATGCCCGGGCTGCAGCCAGCCTCAGTGGGGGTCTGCTGGGACACCTCCTCCATCAAGTCCACTCAGGCCACTCCCCACCATGACCAACAGGGGGCTGACACTGCCCCAAGTGAGCCCCCCGCCCCCCAGCGGTCCTGCGCCCCGGCAGGCAGTCTGTGCCCCTTTCAGGGGCAGATGTGTGCATAGCCTCGATTTCTTTCTCAAGGCAGGCATGAGGAATGGGTCCACCAAAGGCCACTGGTGCAAAAGTGCCCAAGAGCCGAGCTGTAACCCCAAGGCAGCCAGAGCAAATGGAAAGCAGCAAAGTACTGGGAGCTTCCACTTGAAGTGCAGGAAAAATCTCCCGAGCCAGGTATCCAAAGCTGTGGCTCCGAGCAGCACAAAGAGCTGAGAGCCGCTGCATTCAGGGCTCGGGATATGAAGGCGTGAAGAGCTACCCTCGTCTGGTGGGGACTGAGCAAGAGGAAACCCGGGTGCAGGAATGAAGTCCAGCCACTGCAGAACCAGACCAGTGCCAGAAGGAGCTGAGGATCGATGTCCTCATGTTCTCCAGAGAAAGCCAAGGGCTGCTTTAGTTTCTTCCTCAAACTTTTAATTCTCGTACTTCTCACAGAAAACATACATTTCAGCAGAAATCATAAATAGTACATACTAGCTTTTTAAAAGATACCTCTATAAATAAGTAATAACTGAGGTTCTAATACAATAAACTCCAAATTAAGAAAACCAGAGGACATACCTTTGTGAGGATGGTTTTACCATAATTTTTTGTGCTGGTCAAACCACTATTCAAATAGATATTTTTCTTCCCAACTGGACTATAATAAGCTAAAGGCAAAAAAAAGAGGCAAAAATTGCTTATTAAACACAGCATTATAGTTCAATCAGCTGAGCACTCTGGCATCCTGTTCACACACAGGCAAGCTTACCTTTAGGACAGACGCCTCCATGACTGTTCGCTCTGGGAGAACCCACGTAGGCCAGTCCAAGTGTTCCCATGTCAAAATCCTGGTACGTGAAAAGGTGGGCCAAGCAGACTTTTGATGCTTCCTCGGCTATATCAAAGCTAAATTGCTTTAAAAAATAGAAAGTGTTCTAGATTAGATGAGCAGTTCTATCAGACTGAGAGACAGCTCAACAGCAGGCAGCACGCACAGCAGACAGACCTCCCCCAAGTGTGGCAAGGGTGCTGCTGTTGCTGTAGGCATGTTTGTTTACTCATTCATTTGGGATGGGGAAGACTTTTTTTTAGAAAATTCATAACAAGAAAGAGTTCTAAATAGAAACTTACAGACTCCAAGATAAAAAAATTTTTTTTTTTTTTTTTTTTTTTTTTGGTACCGGGGATCAAACTCGGGTCCTTGCGCTTGCGCAGCAGGCGGTGAAACCGCTGAGCTAAATCCCTGGCCCCCCAAAAATCTTGATTTTAGGCTTGGCTGGGTGGCACATTCTGGGAGGCTGAGATAGGAGGATTCCAAGTTCAAGCCCAGCCTGAACAAGTTAAGTGACTTAGTGAAAACTCGTCTCAAAATAAAAAATTTAACAAAGGGCATAGGTGGAGGAATGAATATGAGAAAAATATATACATTAAAAACTATCACCAGGATTGTGAAACTATGAGGGACAGCATGGGAGGAGGATGAGGGTAAAAAGAATTAAAATGTTACGTGTGTATGCACAAATCTGTCAAAATGAAGCGCATTAACCAGCATAACCAATAAAAGAGTAGGGGTAGGGCCAGGGATGTAGCTCAGTGTAAGGTTCTGAGTTCAATCCCCAGCACCAAGACAGACAAACAAAAACTCTTGATTTTTTAAAACATTTAAAATGAGACTGTCAGCCAGGCATGGTGGCACACACCTGTAATCCCAGCACCTAGGAGGCTGAGGCAGGGGGAATGCTACAAGTTTGAGGCCAGCTTGGGCTACAGTGAGTTCAAGGCCAGCCTGAAGTACACAGTGAGACCTTGTCTCAAAAAAACCAAAGACAGGGCCGGGGATTTAGCTCAGTGGTTTCGCTGCCTGCTGCGCAAGCGCAAGGACCCAAGTTCAAGGACCCGAGTTTGATCCCGGGTACCAAAAAAAACCCCCCAAAAAACCAAAGACAGACAGGTCAGTCAGTCCAGAGGCATCTGCAGAGTGAAGAAGGCTACTTGGGTCACTGGCAGCTCTGTGGGAACAAGGCGTGGCACCTATGGACACAGCCTGCTCCTTCTGGGTCCTGCCAGATGCAGCCCATGTGAGGCCTCAAGAGCAGAGGGTGCAGGGGCTCAGCTGCTCAGGTCTCCGCCATTGCTAGTATGTGAGTACCAGGGACGGGTCATGGCACCTTGCCGAGTGAGCTGAACTATACCCACCCAATAATTCAGAGTGAAGTCCTAACACCCTATAGCTCCAAAGTCAACTATATTTGGAGACAGAGTCTTTACAGAGGTGATTGTTAAAAGGAGGTCATAGGGTGGGCCCTAATCCCCAGGTCTTAATGAGGAGAAGACACAGACCCAGACACACACCAAGGGAAGACCCAGGAAGGACACAGGAGAAAAGTGGCAACATCTACAGGCCAAGAAGAGAGGCCTTGGAAGAAGCCATCTCCGGCAACACCTTGATCCTGGACTTCCAGGCTTGATGGGCAGGGGCTGGCAGGTCAGATCGGATGCAGCAATCTACACATGGGGGCCGCATCACTGGCAGAGACAGCCATGCCTCCCAGATTCTCAAAGATACTGCTTTACAGCCCCTTTGTAATACACAGTGATGTATACACAGTGATGCTGTGGATCTTTCAGTATCCTGGTCAGTAGATTCACTTTTAATTCACACATTGGCGGCTCAGGGGAATGTTTTTTTATTCCATCATTTCCATGGGTTGGTCTGGGTGTCGGTGGCTCATCCACAGTCTCTGCTAGGATCTCCTCAGGCCAGAACTAAAGCTTTCCAACCTGGCCTGGAGTTAAAGGCTGTTACCAGTCTGTGTCTAGACTGAGACCCCTGTGTAATGCTCTGTCTGCCGTGTCCCATTTGACCTGCCAACCCCTACCCGTCTTTTTCAGCCACTGATGTCTGCCTCCCGACAGATGGCAAGTAACTGAGGTTGACAGGGGGACTTCTCCCGGTTTCCCACCATCTTCTCCAACACAGCCTGCAAGGCTGCAGACATAATCCTTGTGTCAGAAATCACCAAGTGGCCAGGGCAACACAGCCAGCACCTGGACCTACCTCCAATAGCATCTTCACATCCCATGAGTCCTTCTCTTCATGCGGGTAACTCTTCGCCATGTTGTAGTGCCTTTCGCCAGGTCTGACCTCTTGTGGAGACTTGAGAATGCGAATCTATACTTAAAAAGATAACACATCTAGAACGTTTCTGAGAAGGGGCTGTAAGACTGAATAATACTTCTCTGTTCAAACAAAGACCATTTAGCATTCTAGAAAAAGGGTTACAGAACCTTAATTCTGTAGTCTTCATTTTTAATGTTCAGTGCTTAAAACAAACTGAAGTGCATATGGCATGAAAAACATGTTGATGAATTAGTTATATATGTACTAAATTTTCTTATCTTCTACATTTGGAAAAAGTGAGAACTTGGATTGCATGAGCCTTAAATATTTATTACAATTAGAGACAATAATTTAGAAATACTAACATGTCCATCACTTGGCTCCCACAGGGATGAAAGGTTATAAAAGGGAGGGGGGGCTTCGCCTTGTACCTCATTTCAGGTAATTTCATAGGAAACCTGCTCAGACAAAAAGAAAGGAAAAGGCTTTCCCGCCAGCAAGTCTGACAGATGGAAGACAGACTCGGCTCAGAGGGCTCTGCCCCGCTCCCCACCCAGCTGCATACAGGACCCCTCTGCCATCTGCACTGCCACCTCGGGGTGAGCTTCCCAGGGCTATGAACTGGGGAGGGGGTGCCCAGGGCAGTTCAGAGATGACTGACCACACATCAGATCACATCCTCCAATCCATCTCTTGTGCGTTAAAGAAGGTGATGTGTTTCTCTCCCACATTATCCCTATGTTCTTTAACTGGCTCCAAGTTCCCAAGGCAAAAGGGACCCTTATGTACTGGGTCCCAAACCCTTGAACATGATGTAGTGTTTCAAACACAGAAGGCCATTTCTTTTTTGGTACCGGGAATCGAACTCAGGTCCTTGCACTTTCGAGCCAGGTGGCGGAACCACTGAGCTAATCCCTGGCCCAAGGCCATTTTTTATGTATGCACCAACATGGAAAAATCTCCAACATACTGCAAAATGAAAACAGTACGGAGTAAAGAGACTGCAACCATGTCAAACACAGACACACACAGACACACACACACACACACACACACACACACACACACACACACACACACACCCCCTCTGGAAAGAGACACATGACTAGTGATGTAGAAGTCCCTGGAAAAAGGACCTGGTTTGACAACAACAGAAAGAAGTTGTAGACTTACTTTTCACTGGTTTTTGTACTGTGTATATATTACCTATTCAAATAGTAACTTAAAGAAAATACAAAACAGAAAAAGAATGGAAAAGGGAAAAATTCTCTTAGTCATACGTAAGTACTATCAAAGTTTAACATTTAATTAGTAAAGTACATGATTTCAAAAGTTTTTTGGGTTTGTTTTGGTTTTTGAGACAGGGTCTAGCTATGCAGTTCAGGGTGACCTTGAACTCACTATGTAGCCCGGGCTGGCCTAGAACTTATGCTGGGATTACAGGCATATACCACCATGCCTGGCTTAAAAAATACTTTTTTTTAATCTCTAAATTCTATACTACACAACCTGTAAGAATATGACTTAGTACAAAAAGCCTGGAAAATAAGATATAATTCATGTAAAAGAGGTTTATGTATCAAAATGTCCAAAGCAATTTTCAATTTTAGAAGTGTCTTTAGTTAGACTTAATTTCAAACAATTTTTACTATGAGACACAACTAAGATGATATTATTAATATAATTATTATTATTATTTTTTTTTTTTTGGTACCAAGGATCGAACTCAGGACCCCGTGCTTGCCAGGCAGGTGGTGTGCCACTAAGCTAAATCCCTGGCCCAAGATGATATTATTGTAACATTACACAACATTAATAGCTTATAAGGAATCATAAGGAGATATTTAGAAAAAGATCTAGTGATTCTGTATATATAAATGCCTTATACAGTATTTTTGAGTAAACTTTCTTAGCAATGATTCAACCATGTGTTAGCATTTTTTTCTGGGGGATGGGGGTTGCTAGGGATCAAACCCAGGGCCTTGTAAATGCCAGGCAAACACTCTGCCACTCAGTCACATCCCCAGCTCAAAGCATTTTAATCTGAGAGAAGGAAAACACTACCGGTGACAAGCAGCCCATAAAGCAGCCTTACAGGGCTTCCTCCTTATAACAAGCTTCAGATCAGAAATCTAGAACTAAGTAATGTCAAAAACACAAAACCGATTTACCAGAGAACAATCACTGGCATTTGAGAATTTTTACTTATTATCAATGTCAAAGGAAAATGTTTGGATTTTAATACAAATATTTTAAGTCACATAACTTCATCAAGTAACATAAGGCCATATCTATTGATAAATACCTGCTCTATTTGTATTCCATAACCTTTAAAGCCTGCATTATCCCACGAAGTGTTCCGGTAGATGTCATCAACTCTGTCAATTAGCTCTATCTGTGTGTATAAACCAAAGACATTATTATATAGATCTTTACCACTCATTACATGTAATATAAAATCTGCAAGGATAAAAATTCTGTTGAATGAAAATGCCATTTCAAGTTTCTACTAATTACAAGAACTACCCTTAAGATATTAATCTTTATCATTGATGGTTCTACCAAAGAAATTATTCCCACTTTCAAACTTAAAGTGTAATCAGAATAAAACAGTGGTAGAGTTTACCCCAAATTTCTGATAGTCAACTGCAGATGGAACCAAAATATCGAGGATTAGGGTTTTTGTGGGGTTTTTTTCTTTTTTTCTTTTGGTACCTGGGACCGAGCTTGAGACCATGCACTTTTTCTTTTTTTTTTGGTACCGGGGATCGAACTTGGGTCCTTGCACTTGCGCAGCAGGCAGCGAAACCACTGAGATAAATCCCCTGCCAAGACCATGCACTTTTGAGGCAGGCAGTGGCAACACTGAGCTACATCCCTGGCCCTATTGGGGTTTTTAAAAACTGCCATTCCAGTCAATTACAAAAGTAAAATTTAGAAGTCAGTTTACCAGGCCAGGGATGTAGCTCAGTGGCACCATGCCTACCTTGCAAGCACAAGGTCTGAGTTCAATCCCCAGTACCAAAAAAAAGTCAGTTTACCTAAAAATATCTGAGGGAGCGGTCTTCCCTGTCTCCCGGCACGCACCTCGAGGCCGTCCAGGGACAGGGACAGAGTGTGACAGTTAACGCTGGCCCCATCCCCAACCTGCTCCCACAGCCTGGCCCTGAGGATGGGTGGGGGACAGGGCCATCTCCTCACCACACAGAAAGAACAGAATGCGCGTTCTCTCTCTGCTCCTCAAACAGCATATTCTACTGTTCAAAACTTGGTTAAAAAAATAAACTGAAAAAGAAGAAAAAACAAAAACTGGGTTGAAGACGTTTGTTCCAGTGACTGTGAAGCAAGCTCCAGGTCTAAGGAATTGTTCTTTGTTTACAAGTAACTGTAAGAAACTGAATTTTTCCCATATTCATGGTGTAATGAACAAAGACACAAAATAAGAAAAATCCCCTCATACAGCCCAGACCAAGAGAGAAGTGTTTTCAAGAAAGAACCCCTCTTGGTAGGAACAAAGATTACAACGACTCCCACTGTGCTCATAATAAATTCTCCCCCTAGCTCAGCAGGGCAGGACGGCAGGCTAAGGGAGGTCACAAAGATGGGGCTTTCCCGCCCGGGGGCTGTGGGTCTTCAATAGCTGCTTTCTCTTTTATTCCCTGGTAACAACATTTTGCTCAGCGGCAAGTTCTCCTGACAAATGAGGTCATAGTAACAAAAAATGTTAATGAAAAAACAGTTAACCCCAGAACTCCAGCTTTGGCTGGAGCAGTGCTTGCCAGGCACTTGGGTTTGATCCCCAGCACCACCGAAGAACCCACTGTTGGGTTCAACCCATTGTCAACCCATTGTTGACATTTCTTTCTTCTTTCCCCCAAGAGTTAACGGATTACGACCATCATAATGCATACTCCTGTGATTAGCTCTTTAGCATGACATGAACAAAACTGACCTTCTGGGAGATATATTTTTATGCAAAAAAGCATATAACACATCTGGTCACATGGATAGCTTTCCTCTGAAACATAAATCCATACTGTGATACCACAGGTTCACTGTTACTAGGAACTGGTGCTTTTGCAAAGTTCATTTGTATAAAACAAAGGACGACATTACAAACTTCCCCAAACTTAATATAAAAAATTCTATTATGCAGAAAATATTAGTTTAAAAGTAAAATGTGGCTTTCCTGACTCTGAGATGATAGTTTCCAGAGTACTGGCCGTGGAACACCGCGGGAGAGTGTCACAGAGCCTTTGGGACAGACTCACCAGGTAATTGGTCGTGGTGCTCTCCTCCCCTCGGCCCATGTACTTGTAAAAGCGATGATCTGCAACCACCAGTAGTTTACACGTGTTCTTCATGGGATCCGGGTCGGCTCTTCTCTTCACCCGATGGACAAACTCTAATATGAATTTGTATGCACTATTAAATCAAATTCATCAAGACAAGGGGGGTTTTTTATAGGAGCACTTTACGTCCAGTAGAGTTCTAAAACAAACATCAGTTGAGCTTAGTATACTCAACAATTATCTTGAATAAAAATAATTCACAGGGCACAGGGGTACACCTGTGCCCCCACTGCTCAGGAGGCTGACGTAGGATGATGGCAACTTTGAGGTGACAGAGCAAGACCCTCTCTCAAAGCAGAAAGGGCTGCAAGTGTAGCTCAGTGGTACAGCACCTGACTAGCACACACAAAGCCCGAGCTTCAATCTCCAGTACCACCAAAAAAATTGGAGAGCTCAAAACCAAGGGGTCTGAGGACAAAGCTCAGTGGCAGAGCACTCGCCTAGCATGTGTGAGGCCTTGGGTTCTATTCCCAGAACTGCAAAAAAGAACCAAAAAACAGTACAGAGCAGGGCTGGGGATTTAGCTCAGTGGCACCGCGCCTGCCTCGCAAGGTGCTGAGTTCAATCCCTGGTACCACAAAACAAAACAAAACAAAAAATTGGCAACTCTGGGGACATGGAGCTGTCTCGGTGCCGGTGCCAGTGCCAGATGGAGACCCCTGCCACACACAAGCAGGGGCCCAAGCCCTTCTCAGGCGGAAGCGTCTTCATGGACGCAGCAGAAGCACACACAGCTATGCACACAGATCCATGTGGAAAAGGCAGAGCCAGGATCCCCTACATGTGCGGCTCTGCCGCTGGTCTGGGGACATCATCACGCAGCAGAAGAGCCATCAACACACTCCTCTGCGGAACTGTGTGCACACTCACAAACGTGTCTCCATGACAAACAGAAGCTGCAAAATTACGGTTAACAGGGTTATCGACTGCTTTCAGTGCTACAGCCCAAACCTCAGGGGCTTAGCCCTGCCAGGCAAGTGACCCATCACTCAGCTACACCCTCGCCCAGGGTAGCTTTCTTATTAAATAATAAAACTGTTGACAAATTTATTTAGTTATGTAGTAAAATGCTAGGAGTACTTTCTGAGATCTTCAAGAATGAGGACAGCTGAAGCCGGGCAAGGTAGCACATGCCTGTAGTCTCAGCTACTCAGAAGGCTGAGGCAGGACGATCTCCTGAGCCCAGGATTTCGAGGTCTGCCTGGACAACACAGTGCAACCCTGGCTCCCTCAAAATAAATTTAAAAATAGTCAGAACAGGTTACCTCTCCAAAATGGTTAGTTTCTAAATGACTCTAAATAGATCTGTCCCAAGACTGAGAACCTTTTTATATCCAAACAGTATAGCTCTCTTACTACTAGAATTATTACTTACAAGCGCTAAAGATTGTTTGAAGGTATTTTTGTTGTTTTGTTTGGTACTCGGAACCTTGCACTTGTGAGGCAGGCAGCGGAACCACTGAGCTAAAGCCCAGGCCCTTTTGTTTGGCACTATTCTTTGACATTGCTAAATACCTGCTAGTAAAGAATTCTCCTTAAGATCATTCAATTTTCCCCAAATATCTCTTTAGGTCCAATTATTGCTGCTCTCATTATTTTAGCACTTAATACAACTCTTACATTAAAAAATAATTAAGAATTTCTGGAAAAAAACTATTTTCAAACCAAGTATTATAGTTACTTGATCATCACATTTTTCTACCAATTAACAACCACTCCTGAGGGAGTCAGCTGTAACATGCTGTGTCTCACTTGAAATGTAGCTTTTACCACGCACCTCCAGGCGGCTCCCTGTCTATCAGCCCTTCCGGAATCAGCTCCTCGTCTTCCACTTTCACATAGCCACATACTTTGGGAGACTGCAAGCGCGAAACATTCTTGATGTCTTCGGATCTGTAAGCTAGCATCCTTTTGTCTTTAGTATCATTAACAAATCTCCAAAGTGGCTAAAACATAAAATATATATGATGAGATGGAAAAAATAAGAACTCTTAAAACATTAAGTCCATATGACGTCTTTGCTTATCTTAGACAATGTTCATTTCTCGTTCAGTAAAATGATGAGATGTTTTATCCAAAATAAATTATTTCCATTTTTATCATAAGGGGTTTTCTATGCTGGTAAATTAATTCATAGATGATACACTCGTGATTTTACCTGTATATGAACAAAAGCATCACTTGGCATGAGGAAATCTTTCAGAAAATTGAGAAGAGAAAAATGCCTTTTTCTATTAATTCATTTAAAAACATTTATATAATGTCTACTGCCTATTGGCACTCCTTTAGTTGTTGATGACACTGCAATAAAAGCTAGACAAGGCCAAATGCAGTGCTGCACACCCATAATCTCAGCTGCTTTGAAGGCTGAGGCACGGGGATCTCAGGTTTGAGCCCCACCTGGACAACTTCATAACACCCCATCTCAAAATGAAAAATAAGAATAACAAAGGGGGCCAGGATTTAGCTCAGAGGTTCCGCTGCCTGCCCCGCAAGCTCAAGGACCCAAGTTCGATCCACGTACCAAAAAAAATATATAATAGGGCCAGGGATTTAGCTCAGTGGTTTAGCTGCTTGCTGTGCAAGTGCAAGGACCCGAGTTCGATCCCTGGTACAAAAAATATATATATAACAAAGGCTACACAGGAGGGAGATTAAGAAACGATGTCTAGTGGCCGGAGATTTAGCTCAGTGGCACCGTGCCTGCCTCACAAATGTAAGGTCCTGAGCTCAATCCCTGGTACTGCAAAAAAAAAATTCACTATATTTTGGCCGGGGATTTAGCTCAGTGGTTCTGCAGCCTGCCTCACAAGCACAAGGTCCCAAATTCGATCCCTGGTACAAAAAAACTCCCCAAAAACCAGTGTCTAACAGATTTCAAAAAGTAACCCAACTCATGAGCCCCAGGAATCTTCCACACTTAATAAAGCTCACTGGGCCTGGAGAGAGGAGAAGCCGATTTTTTTCCTTTTGGAGAAATATTTCAAAATTCTGTAAGAGCTTCCTGGTACTCCCAGTCTCTCACAGAAAGAGACAGCAGGGCTTAGGTACTCGTGGCCCACTGTGTCCCGGACACGGTCCCTTACACAAGAAACCTCCTTCAGGAGGAAAAGGAGCATTAGCGCCCAGTTACATGTGGAGATTTCAAAGGAAAGGCGGTCACCAGACTAGTGGAAGCTAGTCCTGTTCCCACCACTCCTAGTAAGTTACTGGTGGAAAAAAGACACCTGATGAATAATTCAATAAAAATCAAGAGGCTTGATTGGATCCTGGATTGGAAAGCTAGACAAATCTGTGAAGGAGATTTTGAAGATAACTAAAAATTTGACTAAGGACTGGTTATTAGCTAAAATGGTAGGATTATTTTCAGGTGTTTCCGAAACAGTAACCTTTCTCAGGTGTTACTTTTATTATGTGTAAAAAAATGGCTTTATTTTTAGGAGATGCAACACTTAAAATATTTAGAAGTGAAGTGTCATGATATTTCTGAGTGATTTAGGAAAAAAAGAGACAAAGCAGAAATGCCATTCTGGTAGCAACTGATAGATCGTCTCTCTGTCCACCCACCCCCTGCACTCCACACGCCTCTCAGTGTAACAGCGCTCCTCCTCAGGACACCCCCTCAATGCTGGATTTTTTATTTGTATTTTTCTACCCTTTTTACTCAGTCCAAACTTGCTTCACAGAGCTCATTTTTCCCTTACTCTTGTTTTGTACCTTTAATAAATGTGAAACTTAATTGCTTCTCGGCCTTTTGGCTAAGATCAAGTGTAATAAATGTGAAACTTTGACACCATTACAAAAAAAAAAAAGAAATGCAGAATTCATCTTATGAGCTTCTTAGAGATAAAAAAGTATTATCTTTGTTTTTCAAAGTCATCTGTTATCCTAGTTAAAAATTTTTAAATGCAAAGAGAAAAGAAGTAAGGGTAAGTTTCACCTCTGCCATCTTAAACTGAGATTTTTAAAACTCAGAGACAAGCCAGGAGTGGTGGCACACACCTGTAATCCTAGCACCCAGCAGGCTAAGCCAGAGGACTCTGAGTTCCAGGCCAGCCTGAACTAGAGTGAGACCCTGCCTCAAAAGAAAACAGAACAGATCCAGACTGTGGCTGAGCTACTGGAAAACACGGCTGCACAGATGCACTTACCTCTATGTTATACTCTGCCCCATCTGTGTTGATCCTTATGGTAACATCATCATCTCCTATGTGGGCCAGGACCCTGGAGTCAGGCTCACCTTGGGACAACAGAAATGCATTTTATCAAAAAAAATCTCTATCAAACAATAAACTATGTAACTATGTGCTGCTGGCAAGAAAACAATCAACCCAACCCTTCCTCAGACCGGAATGCGCCTTGGTCCTGTGAGTTCTGCAACAAGAAAGCGAGGCCCTGAGAGAGGGGAGATGGGGGGCCTCGAGTATATTTTCCTCGAGGAAAGCTGTGCTCCCCAAAACAAATAAGCAGCCAGCCACTGCTGCGCATTCTCTCAGGAGCACTCTATCCTCGTTTTGGGCAAGAAAGGAATCAGAGAATATAAGAGGCGTGATTTAGAATACATAGGTCTTAAATTGCACTATTTGGAGACTTCAGTCCCATTTCTTTTTTCTTATTGCAGAAAAGTTTCTAAAAGTAAGCTGGAATTGCTTTTTTGATACATTTGCTCAAAGAAATGTATAACAGATCATCAAGTAAATTACTTTTATCTTCTACCTTCCCTGTCTAAAATCTCCTCAGGGACGCCTACAATCCTTGCTTGAAGATAAGAGGTGGTTAAATTTTTATCATTATAGACAGAAGTAATGTGGGGGGCGGGGGGTACTGGGGATCGAACTTGGGACCTTGCGCTTGCGAGGCAAGTGGCGGAACTACTGAGCTAAATCCCCGGCCCAGACAAAAGTAATTTTAACCGTCAAACCAGCCTGCTAGTACATACAACACGAGAGTGGACGCCCACCTTCCCCGTGAGAATGCTTCTGCTTCCAAGTGCGTACAGCTCAACTGCAATCACAACAGCACAGCACTCCCAGGCCTTGTCTCAGCCCACCCACCCACCCACAAAGACTTGGCACTGCCTGCCTGGCAAGCACAAGGCCCCGAGTTTGATCCCCAGTACCAGAAAAAAAAAAAGACTTGCCAATTGCATCGGACTTGGAGCCCAAAGACGCAGACTCAGGCCCAGCCCGCCCGCACACTCACCGACCACGTGGCCGCTGAAGAAGTCCTGCCAACTGACTGCATACTCGCTTTCCGCTTTGCCATCCACCACCATGACTTTGAAATTTTGTGAAAAGCGCTCAGTACTTGATGTTAGATACAGTTTAAAATGCCTAAAGAGGGAACATACTTGTATTTTACACACAGCAAATAAAACAGAGCCATAATTTTGTTTTCCTCCCCTAATTTTCATTTAATTAAACATTCTTTAAAATCCAGAAACACAGTACAAGTTATAGCTAATGTTTTACTAGGTACATGGAGCAATGTATCTCTGGACTAATCTGTTTAGCTGTAAAAACTCAGCAAACCAACAAAACTAATACTGCAGGAGGGAGGGAGGGAGGGTTCAAAGAACTGATGTATTCACCTTTCCTAGAGACTGAGTAATAAAGAAGCACGCACAGAGGCAGACGAAGATGAAGCCGGCGGCCTGCCTATCTCAGACACTGACTACGACACACCAATACTGTTATATGCCTTTAACTGACCAACTACTTGCTGTTATGTCATTGCTATACAACTAGAAGCTGAGCCTTAGTCAATCAACACACTCAAGGCCACACAGCTAGTAAATGGGAGAGTGGAAACCGAAGCTGGCTTGTTTTACAACCCTGCACTCTGCTGCCTCTAGCAGTCAAGCTGCGTGTCCTACAGAAAAATTCTTATTGCTGGGCAAAATAAAATTGCTGCTTTCTGTATTTAAAAGCACTCATGCTTTTTCCTCCTTCTCTAAAGAACTTATTTTGAAAAATAGTTCACAGTTACAACTAGAGTGATAAATACAGTCTCCAACGCAGACAATGCAATATACACTCTGGTTATCTCTGGATGGCTTCCTATCCTTTTCGTTTTCTTTTTTTTGGTACAGAGATCAAACTCGGGACCTTGCACTTAAGAGGCAGGTGGTGGAACCACTGAGCCAAATCCCCGGCCCTCCTTTTCGTTTTTTTATCCGTTACCATTCTGACAAAGGTTTCTTCACTTATTATTTACAGAGCCCTTTCACTGTGCCCAGGAACACCCCTGGCAAAGGCAGGCATGTGACTGTCAGCTATGGTGTCGCAAGTATGAAATGCTACTTCCTCATGGGTGTGCATAAGTCTTCAAACCGCCAGGAAGAAATCTAGCCGAGGACTGTTCCCATGACAACAAATATTTTTAACTTCTGAGCATACAAGGTAATTTTAGTTTGCTTCTGGTTTTTTAATGGTCAGAGGGAAAGAAACACAATAAAATGTTATTACATAAATCTTTGGAACATTTTCTCCTGCTATCCAAAAATGTTTCTTCCCACACACTCTCAGTAATTTTCACCTTTTAGTTATGCCGAGAAACTTGAAAAGCATTCTTATTATAAAGGCCTTATTCTTCAGTTTTAAAGCTCTCTATGAGTCGTGGTATTATTTTTAATTTCGTTCACGGAGAGTCCCAGGAACTACCTTGTTCATTTCTGCACTGAGAAACCGCTCCAGGGCCGGGCGCAGTCAGGGGCACAGCACTGGCCTGGCACACAGGGGCCCTGGTTCCGTCCCAGCACTGACAGGGGGACTGATCAGCTCTGAAGTAAAAATAAAGACCAAGCAATGGGAAGACTTAAATATATTTTTTAATTTTCCAATCTTAGCCTTTAAGTTATAAAATCTCCAACACGACATGTCATTGAAAATTTATCTTTATCCTGCCAAAATTATGTAGTCATCCACTCACTGACTCATGTAGCTGACTTTTTATGAATTTACAGTGACAAAAGACTATTGCCAATCAAGTATGAATTAACATTATTTTCCTATTTCTAAAGGTCCATTCTGTCAGACATACTATTTTCATTTCCTTATCAATTCTAGCCCTCAAATAATCTGAGACATTTCACTTTTACGAAAAAGTTAATAATTTTTTTTAAGAAAAATTCTGATGACATTATCAAAAAAGTATCAAAACAGTATTTGCAGTTTTTTCATTAGACTATTTCTTGATTCGTACTAAAGAAGACATGTAATTTGCAAGGTAAATTTTAAAGTTTCCTTTTTTCAAAAAATTATTGTAACTCCTACAGGTTTTTGGCCTCCAATAGTAACATCCAAATGGCTTATATGATTTCACCCGCCACTACTATTTAAAACAGTCTTCTCAGTTATCATTATTGTAATAAACAACTTCATGAAGGGGGTTCATTTCAGCTTCTCAGTCTGCATTTTTTTAAACTTTGGTAACACAATATGACAGATGTGGAGTCTGAAAATCTTGGCTCTTATCCTACCTGCGCCACTTACTCTTTCCTTGGCCTCAATCTCTGAACCTAAATTCATCTACAGATGAGGAAAATGTCAGCTGCTGACAAATGGTTTGAGGGTTGGATGAAATAACGTACTGTAAAGCACCTGGTACAAAACTCTCATGAATTATTAGATACATTTCCTATTGAACATTTAAGAGTGAAACTCTGTAAAATAAATTTCAAACTTTCCTATTTTCTTACATAGAAAGAGAAATGGTATTATTTAATATTTTCTTAATGAATCAATGTCATCTCTAAAAATAAATGAGAAGTACAAAAGGCCAAAGAAGTATCTGCCCCGGTAGCAAAGATCCTAGAGGGCCCCTCAAGTCTAACTTGGGCAGAAACTCAAGAAAGCTACACTGTGAATTTTCACTGCGTCCTTCTTCCTTTACTCCTGTTTATTTCCTGCTACTCTGTGCACTGCTTCACGCAACTCCCCACCACTGGAGCAGAGATAATGCGTGCTTCGGAGGCAGCCACGCGCTCATATCCTGGGTCAGCCATTCATACCTAAGCGATCTCAGGCACATCGCCTAACTTCTGTGAGCTGTGTGTGCGCATGCGCGCCTTCGAAACTAGACTAACACTACCTGGGAGGCTGAAGTAAGGGGAAGGCAGGTTCAAGGAAAGCCTGGACAGCTTAGTGAGACTCTGTCTTGAAATTAAATTTTTCTTTTTCTTTTTGCGGTACTGAGGATTGAACCCAGGACCTTCATACTTGAGACAGGATCTCCCTAAACTGCTCAGGCTGGGTTCCAACTTGAGATCCTCTTCCCTCGACCTCCCTGAGTGCTGGTATTGCAGGGGTAAACCACTATGCACAGCTTCAAAATTAAACTCTAAAAACAGGCTGGAAGTGTGTGGCTGAGTGGCAGACTGCTTGCCTGGTATACGGGGAGCCCTAGGTTCAATCCCCAGTACCAAAAGAGGGGTGTGGGAGGTGGGAGAGTGGGGTGATAACAACAATTATGCAGATCGTGGCAAGAATCAAAGACAAATTACACAAAGTGCCTAGTAAGTTATACAAAATAAGTACCTGATGAACTGTAGCTGTTATTACTTTTACTATTCTGCTCAGATTCACTGTAGGTTGGAAGGTAATATTGTGACATAAAACTTAATAAAAAGAAGTCATTCACGCCAGGCATGGTGGCACATGCCTATAATCTTAGCACTCAGGAGGCTGAGCCAGGAGGATCACTCCAAGTTCAAGGTCAGGAGGGACCACCCAGTGAATTCAAGGCCAGCCTGAACTACCTAGTGGGACCTTGTCTCAAAAAACAAAAATCGGGGCCAGAGATTCAGCTCAGTGATTCCGCCACCTGCCTCGCAAGTGGAAGGTCCCGAGTTCAATCCCCAGCACAAAAAAAAAAAAAAAAAAAATTGAAACACAAAACAAACCAAAAAACCACATTTTTTTAAAAAAAGAAAGTCATGGGCCAGGGATTTAGCTCAGTGGTTCCACCACCTGCTTTGAAAAAAAATAAAAAAGGAAGTCATTAAAAATAACCTAGCCAAAAAAATCATAACCTAGCAAGGTTAGAGTGAAGAAAATATGCCAGGTACAAGGTCCTAATTACCTCAATGAATGTGGACATTAAATTCCATAAGCATGAACTAAGATTAAAAATATTAAAAAGAATGAAATGGGGAAAGGGGAACTAGAGTGAGGGAGGGAGGGGAAGGGGATTTAAAAAGAAACTGTATTATATACATGTACCAACTCCCCAAAATGATTGTGAAATGCCATGTACTGCAAACATGGACTAATAAAATAACTAAAAAACTCTAGTAGTTCAGGCATGGTGGTGCACACCTGTAACCCCAGCTACTCAGGCGGCTGAGGTAGGAGGATCCTAAATTTGAGCCCAGTCTGGGTAACTTAGCAAGATCCTGTTTCAAAATAAAAAGCGAAAGGAAGGTAGCTCAGTGGTATTAGCACTTATCTAGCATGCACAAGGCCCTGGTTTCAATCCTTAGTACCAGGGAGGAAAAAAAAAACCCCAGGGCTGGGGGTATAACTCAGTGGTAGAGCTCTTGTCTAACATGCTCCAGGCCCTGGTTTTCACCCTGTCTCAAAAAATAAAAAACAGAAACCAAAAGCTAGGAAAATGTTGGGTGTGGTGGTACACACCTGTAATGCCCCCACTTGGGAGGCTGAGGCAGGAGGATCACCATAAATTCAAGGCTATCCTGGGCTACATAGGCATTCAAGGCCAGCTTGAACTACATAGCAAAATCCTCTCTAAAAAAAGAGAATCCAGGGCAGGGATTTAGCTCAGTGATTCCACCGCCTGCCTCAAAAGTGCAAGGTCCTGAGTTCAATCCCTGGTACCAAAAAAATAAAAACAATCCAAAACCTTTTAAAGAAGCTAGGAAAAGGGTCAGGGATTTAACTCAGTGGTTCTGCTGCCTGGCTCGCAAGCGCAAGGTCCCAAGTTCAATCCCCGGTACCAAAAAAAAAAAAAGCTAGGAAAATAAAAACATAATGAAAATATTTTTGCCTAATATCTCAAACATGAACAATGGACCAATTTCCTCAATGTAACAAGCAGCACTATAATTCACACTCAAAAAGACAATCCTGATTAAAAAAATGGTCAAAGCACATGAAAATGCAATTCATAGAAAAACAAAAATAAAAAAATGCTCAAATCCACATAAAATGAAAATCGAAACAACTATGAGATAACATTCCCTGCTCAGAGTGAAAGTTAAAGGCAAAAAAAAACTAGCACTGGCCACCGTGTCAAGAAACAGACTCAGATAGGAAGACTGGGTCTCATCTCTTTGGGAGGAAACATGGCATTATTAGGAAGCACTTCACTTTTTAATTCTCCTTCTAGGGCTGTAGCCTTTAAAAACATGAGACAGGTCAGAGGATGTAGCTCAGTGGTAAAGCAGTTGCCAAGCAAGCACAAGGTTCTGGATTCCACCCTAACCACAACAAAGAAGTAAAACACACACACACACACACACACACA